TTGAGAAGAGAAAATATTAAACGAATTAACATTTTTCAGTATTTTTTACATGCACTTTAAAGGGCCCGTTTTAATGTTCCCCTTATCTCGTGGGTACAAGATTAAAACTAACTTCACTGAGTTTTACGGGGTTGGACTCGACTGACTCTTGCTGACCATAAAACCTTAAGCTCTCGAAGAAAACGAACATGTTTTCACTTTCATGTGTACACTGCGTAACTGGGAATGTACAAACTTCAACCTCATCCCCCGAGGCTTCTCGGCCACATTCCGTCTCAGAGGCACGCATCTTTTCATCTTTTCAGCTATTGTCGATTGTCTTAATAGGCCTACCTAATCTTCACTGGATAACAATTAAAAGAAAGAGAGAGAGACAGGAAGTTCTTTGGCCTGACACGCATGCAAAAATAGCAATAGTTAATATACATACCAAAATTGCACTGTCAGAGTCAGTCAAGGTTGACCAACTTTCTTTACTCGTTTACCCCCGTTTTTGATATCGCAGTTATCACAAGGTCGGACATGGTGGGAGAATTTGTCGGATTTTGGGTGGAAAAGTTTAATCTCGGCTTTCCCAAGTGCTCTCCGTTGGAAATGATAGGATTCACACCTACGGCGATTTTTAAATTTGCCACAAATATTTCAAGAATGATACGTATAGCTCGCAACACAGGTGTGGCTTTAAAGGGCCCCTACATTACTGCTGTTAAGAGCCTGTACGCGGGCGGGTGCAGCAGAAAATTCCATGCTTCATGTGGAATGATTGCTCACAAACAGAAAGGCTATGATCAGTTTATGCGCATCTTCAACAATAATACCGAATATTCGAGATTCGAAAACTTTGACCTGACGCGAATGTTCAACAGACAGTGTTTTTGTGATTCAAATATACCAAACAGCCATGGTTGACTACATCTGAATCATTTTCCTCGTTTCATTATTTCTGATAGAATACGAAAACTAAATGCAATCATTTTTTGTTCGTTAAGCAAGAAATCGAGACAGTCGACATGCAAGAAATAATAGATTTGGTCTCTCGTAAAACGCTCCACTGGTCCAATTATTGGGCAAATGTATGTTGAATTGTGCTCGGAATTATCCTATCAGCAATCTTTCCAGACATTGAAAACAGCGAATCGAGATTTGACTTTCGTTATGGCTCAAATGGCGACAAAGTCTAAAAAGTAGGGAAATACATGAGGAAAATGTAATTAATTCTTTGCAACCAGTTATCACTATTACACAAAGAAAAGACATCAGATTTTGTATTTTTATAAACATGTTTTTGAGAAGAGAAAATTTGAAACGAATTAATATTTTTCAGTATTTTTTACTTTTTCAACCTTGTTCTTCTTTAGGGATAATTTTGACGGCGAAGTTTTTCTTTTAAAGTCTGCTGTAAAAGATGGCGCCGATCTATATTTAATCGTATATCATGTTTTCAGATACATGTACAAGACCGTAGGTCTCGACAGACAACTATAGCTTTCGTCAAGGGTCAATCTGTGAGTAAAAATTATTTCTCGTTGTGGAAAAACATTGTCCATTTACTTCGACTATTTAACGTTTGTCTACTTTTGAAGCGAAAGAATTGATGTCTTTGGAAAATTTCTGCTTTGTTTTTACATACAATTTACTCTTTTGGGGATCGATATTGACTTGTAACCGGTGTAACATTGTCTCCTCTCATAAATGTTTGACCTACACTAATCAAACTTTTTGTACAATGAGTTTCAATAGAAAGTTAATAAAGTTTTTTGGGGGGAACATTTCAAAACTGAGAGGCCATGTTTGTTTTAATTTTTGCGTGGACGTCGCGCGGATTTTAAAGCTCGCGCCATAGTAGTGCTCAGGCTGCGCACGGCCAATTTACTCTAGGGAGCCACCTTAAAGGGCCGTTTATATCTTCCCCTTATCTCGTACCCAGATCTTCCACGCCTAGAGTGGGATCTGGATACAAGATTAAAAGTTTTACGGGGTTGGACTCGACTGACTCTTTCTCACCATAAAACCTTAAGTTTTTAAAGAAAACGAAAGTGTTTTTGCTTTCATGTGTACGCGTGCGTAACTGGGAAAGTACAAACTTCAACCTCATCCCCCGAGGCTTCTCGGCCACATTTCGTCTGAGAGGCACGCATCTTTTCATCTTTTCATCTTTTCAGCTATTGTTGCTTGTCTTAACCTATAAAATGAACTCGCTTTTTTCATTTTTCTCTGCCTGTCCTGGCCTAGTCTTCATCGGAGAACAATGATGAAAAAAAAAAAGAAAGAGAGAGAAAGAGAGAGACAGGAAGTTCTTTGGCCTGACACAAACGCAAGAATAGCAACAGTTAATATACACACCAAAACGTTGCACTGTCAGAGTCAGCTAAGGTTGACCAAATTTCTTCACTCGCTTTGCCCCGTTTTTGATATCGCAATTATCACACGGTGAGAGAATTTGTCGGATTTGGGGAGAAAAATACGTGTTTGAACCTCGTTTGAGCAAGGATCGAACGTTTAATCTCTGCTCTTTGTTGAAAACGAAAGGATACCTGCCTAAGGCGATGTTTAAATTTGCGAGAGCCTGTTCAAGGGCGAGTGCAGCAGAAAATCCAAAGTTTCATGTTGGATGATTGCTCACAAACAGAAAGGCTATGACATGCCCAATCAAAACTTTCAGTTTTAAATCACGGCAGGCGAATCTTTCATGTGCCATCAAAAAAACAAAACCTGACATTCAGTGTTCTGGTGTAATTTTGCCTTGGTTTAAGGCGCATTGAACTATGGCAAACTTTTTGTCAGATTTTTTCGGTTAAGCTCTTTGTTGAAGGAGCAAAAACTGAACCAGGAACAATACTCTAGCGCATATGTACTAATAAGTTCTGCTGCAAAGCTCGGTGTTTTTCAAGTGTGTGAACAGATTTTTAACTAACGCTTTTGAAGCGCGCTAATGTGGATGCTTATCTGTGAGCTGTACTGTAGGTAATCAAATGATAGACAGAAAATTTCGGAAATTCTGGATGGAAGGTAAATGGTAAGGTCACTTTTCGGAAATTCGAACCGAAAATTGAGGAGTACGTTTTGAGGTAGCCCGTTCATTCTGGTTGGTACGAACCAAACGAAATGTTGCTTACCATTAACCAATTTCTTAGTTCCTTCTCGGTTCCAGACTCACGCTATACAAATTCGCCCTTTTTTTGGATTCAAACCGTAACGGAGGTGGCATTTATACGGTAAACTGGTAAATCGCTTGCCATTATGCTTTCGACACCCCAACCGGATTTTTTCGTCAGATGGTAAGCACCCCTAGTATATACCGTAAAGCCTCTCTTAGCTCCCGGGGGGCTTATTTATTTCAAACACATGCGAGGGGAAGGGGGATTAATAGAGACGGGGCTTATTTGAGAGGGTTTTTTTTTAAAAGGAACGACGATGGTATCAGTTCTCCATAAAGAACTATAATACAAAGTGGAAAAGCTTAAGTATAAGAAGCTGGAGGTCATTCAACCAAGGATCAAAAAAACAAATTCGAACTTACAGTTAGTAGCAGTTAGTGAATAAACCATCACGGATCAGCGCGTATTGCGGTGCCTTTCCAGAGCTGCTCCCTGATTGGTTCGATAAGAGCTTCCGGTAGCGATTGTACCGATTATATTATTGGCTAGTTCGTTTTGGGGCGCCATATATGGAAGTAGCGCTTGTATTTAGCGCTTGTACGCTTTATTTTATTGTCAGAGTTGGTGTAGTTTTCGTAGAGTTTTGTGCGGTGTGAACGTTGACTGTTAGAATATTCATTGAAGAAGTTTCACGTCGTTCCCTGGTTGTTTTTCGAGGTTCGTCTGTAGCTGTTCCTCGCTCAATTGAGCGTAGTACATGTCAATGGTGAGACCTTTAACATTCCTATATATTTTTTATGTATAACTTATGTAATTGCCAACGAGTCACCCTCGCGAGGACGCGAGGGTGACGAGGCGGCAGCATCATAAATCCGACGCGCGAGTTAGTTTTGGTACAGGGAGAAAAAATCTCGAATCAAAATGTAAGCATAAGGTAATGTAAGAGTGACATCATCGGTCATTGTTTTCGAGCTAGCCAATGGCATCGTGGTATTTTTTAATCTAAACCAATCACATCAGGACGATCATGACCGGTGACCACATGACCAACATCAGATGACCACATTAACCTCGTGGGCATTTTCTGGTGTATCCCGGCATCTCCTGTTCGTGTTGGGCATCGTGCGACTTGCGAGGTGATCAATTACCAGGCAGGAAAAGGTGAGTGGAAATATTGATTTTATTCACTCGTGAGCGTTGTCTTCTTGGGTGCATTTTAATTAAGTGTTTTTTGGATCCGGGGTCGCAAATCTAGCAACTAGCAGACTGAAAAATCGCCCAGCGAGGCTAAAATCGCCCAGCGAGGCAGTTATCGAGAGCAGCTCGAAAACGGCGAGTGACAGTGTCACAGTCACGGCGAGCTTGCCAAAACAGTCAATTGTCTTGACCAGATCGGCCAGCGTGCCATTTAAGAAACAAAAAACAAAACCACTTGAATATATTCACTATAAACTCAATCAGAGGGCGTATAAAGCCTCTTTTTATCGAGCTAGTGTGCTCAGTGCTCAAAATTACAAATTTTGATCGACCAACGAGACACGAGTCACATGGCGTGTCGCTGTTAGTTGTGCGCTTTTTTCTGCTTATCCATTAGCGTGTCCGAAAGTGAAAAACAGTCTAAGCTCTGTTTGCCGGGAAGCCACTATCAGTCAAGCTTGAGGGAGCTTAGCAAATCAGTTTGGATAGTTTTTTATTCCAAAATTGTAGGGTGCTTAGCTTCGTTTGAAATCAGAACTGCTCAGGTCCAAAGTACACTTGCTGAAGCGCGTGCACTGAAGTAACAGCTCACGAGAATTTATGATGCTTCGTCTATTGTGTGTGTTATTAGTCGTAAGTCATTATCAGGGCCATAGTGGTGAGACTAATTTCAATTTTCCACGTGGATATCAAAATGTAACCATTTTCAGATTCCGAGGAAGATATTTGTCTAGACGTATACCTTATCCTTCTAATGGTAGTTTTAATCCCTTTGCAATTTCTAATAAAGAAGCACACATATTAAATGGAAACATAAATAACTTGGAAGCTGCAAAAATGTGTGAGGAAAACAGCTATTCATTTGGTAGAGATCACTTCAGTAATTATTGTTTAAACAATGCAGGTAAATTTTCCTGTGCAGTTGATTGTTTTCTCGAGCTGTGTTATGGTGTTTTTTGTAATCATCTTCATAGCACTACACGAAATGAGTTTTTTGACGTTATCTATGAGTCATGTAATCAAAAGAAAACCTTGGGGCTATTGACATTGTGCGAGAACCTGTGTGGTTATGGCTCAGAGATCATTGTTCATCATTTTCTGCAATGACTGCCAATGCTGTTTTTAGTGACATATTTACATTGAATACTGTCGGAGAGTTAAGTGAGGACCTCAAGTCATTGTTTGTTGTTCAGCAATGCAATCAGTCGTGTTGCGCATCATGTGGCAACCAAATCATATATAAGACAGGTATATTTGTTCTTTACATTACCTGCCCAAATATCATTTCCACGCAATTTGCAAATCATGTTTCAGAAGCTGTTCTTCCTCACAGTAGGGCTCTTTATTGTGAATCTTGCCAAAAACACAGTGGTGATGTTTCTGCATTGCGACATTTTGTAACACTTCCCACATTTTTAACTATTGAATTGTCATCCAATTGTATTGATCAAATTACATTTCCTTTAACTATGGACGTTTTAGAAAATTATTATTCACTGAAAGCTGTTGTGCGTTCTGCAAGTCAACATTTTACTATCGCTATAAATAAAGGAACACATTGGTTGTATTTTGATGATATCTGCAGATCAATTCAGCAATATTCCACTTTTCAAAACCTCTTGATTGCCCATGCCAATGGCTGGTATTTTGCTGTCTATGAAAAGTCTGCCATTCCATTCATTGATAGCGGTAATGCACATGCAGCTGTGAACCAATCTAAGTACACCCAAGAATACCTCACAGGACATTCAGTGCCAAAAGTACTCATTAATGATACTTTAACAGTGCCATCAAACAAACACATTGCACAAGCAAAACAAAATGCATACATGAAAGAATATCGAAAGAAAAGAAAAAAGTAATGAAACTGCAGAAGAACAACTTGCCAAAAACAAAAGCAAAATGCTTACATGAAAGAGTACAGAAGGAGAAAGAAAAATAATGAATCTCAAAGTGAGACGCTTGCTAGACAAGGAAAGCAAAATATATACATGAGGGAATACAACAGGAGAAAGAAAAACATTGAAACTGATACCAAAAAATTTGCAACGGAAGAAAAACAAAATACAAACATGAAGGAAAATCATGAAAAAGTGAAAAACAACTTGGCCTAAAACAGAAGAAAAATGCTTACATGAAAGAGTACAGAAGGAGAAAGAAAAAACAATGAATTTCATAGTGAGAAACTTACTACACGACGAAAGCAAAATATATACATGAAGGAATACAACAACAGAAAGAAAGACGTTGCAACTGGTAGCAAAACAATTTCAAGAGAAGAAGAACAAAATACAGTAATGAAAGAAGATCATGCAAAAAAGTGTTCATGGTGATTTTAAAATGCAAGCAAAACTTATTAGAGAAGAAAAACAAAATACAGACATCATGGAAAATCATGCAAAAAGTGTTAACAGTGATTTTAAAATGCAAGCAGATCAAAATGTATTTAAATGTTTTGTGGAGAAGGAAAAATATTTGTCTTTGTTTGATAGTCAAACAAATGGACCAATTCATTTACAGGAATGGGCTAAAAAAAACATGCGAGATTTCCATAATTCTTTGAAATTCAAAATCTATAAATGCAACATCTGCCATGAAGCATGGCCATTGTCAGAAAAATGTAAAGATGAATCTACATATGTGTGCTCTAGGTGTTTGCGTGACAAGAATGCAACAAAAAAGTTTTCAGTTGACAATAATATGATACCTTCACAAGCACCAAAAGAACTGCAGGGACTCACACAATTAGAAGAAATGCTTATAGCACGTGTATTTCCAGTAATATCTGTTTATACAAAACCAGGGGGGCAAAAGGCATACAAAGGCCACTGTATTAATTTTTCCCAAGATATTCAAGAGCTAGCTAACTCATTGCCAAGGTATCCGAGGGAGCTGCCTGTGATAGTTGTGTCAGTCAAAGGCAAAGATAATACTTATAAAGATCTTACAGTAAGGCGGGAAAAAGTGAGCTGTGCTCTACACTGGTTAGTCCAGCATAACCCTGTATACAAAAATATTACTATAGATTATGACTGCTTGTCTTCCTTGCCATCTGAAGGCATCCCAAGTGAACTGCATCAGATTGATTGTATTGAGAATACTAAAGATAAGGAAATGGATCCAGACAGAGGTCCACTTGATGTCAATGAAATACCATTCAATGAAGAGACAGAATTAAGCAGCACAATCCTTAATCCAGTAACCTTAAAGCCTCAAAAGCAACTTATTACAGATCAGTTATTGCAAAAGCATAAATTAAATTGGCCACACAGAGACGCAAGCCCTCTGAATGAATTTAAGATCGAATTTCTAGCAACAATGGCATTTCCCACCCTATTTCCTGATGCTAAAGGAGACCCTACAAACACTGCTATAAAGCGGGGTGCAACTTTAGGAGAGAGAAAATAAAGCATCTAATTAAATTTGCTGAATATTCTAATGATGAGTGGACTTATAGGTTTGCAAGCCATCCACGATTTGCATATTGGGCTTTTAATATGATTCAGAGGCATAGACTTCTTAGTCAAGGGAGTATTTTTTTTGAAACAAAACCCTAGCGATGCAAAACTAACTGTGGAACAACTTAAACAGATGCTTCAGTCAAATAATCATTCAACTTTAATGTCTAAACTTATGCATTATGCTAAAAATATAACTGGTAGCAATAGCTATTGGCACAAAGCAAAAAGAGGATTTTAAGGGCTACCGTTGCTCAAGTAGGACCTCCTACAATTTTTTTTACCTTGTCTTGTGCAGAGTACCATTGGCCAGAATTTCATAATCTTCTAAGTAATGACCACTGTGGAGATATCACACCAAAATTGAGACAGAAACATGTTATTGACAATCCACATCTCATTGACTGGTTTTTCACTGAGCGAACTGATCGGTTTGTGAAGTTTTGGCTGAATAAATCATTACAGGCATCTTGGTATTGGTACCGATATGAATATGCTGTTCAGAGGGATCGATTCATTGTCACGGAGTTGCAAAATTGCAGAATGATCCAGGGCTTTGTGAACTTACAGCAGTTGCACTGCAGGGTTTTTTGGCATCAAAATATATCAAAGAACACCAAGCAAATATATCAATTGAAGAACTACAAGAACTGAAAAATAAGGAGAAAAGGGGGGAAAATGCTGAGGCAACTGTTTGCCAATATGTCAATTTTTATTAACGACATGGAATCCTTGTTCTCCAGATGAAGGTTGGTCCAAGCCAAATTCTCATCCATGTCAAACACCATATCTTTCCTTAAAAAAGAAGAGAAAATGGAAGATGACTATGTGAATCTATTGAATTCTGTTCAAAGGCATACGTTGTGTAGTACTAAGTATTGCCTTAGGGGAAAAAGACGGTTGCGAATTATGCTGCAGGTTTAATTTTCCATTTGATAACTGTAAAAAACAAGGATAGATTTTGAACCTGTCCATACAAAATCAGGTCAACCAAAGTATAAAGCAGTTATTGTTACTAAACGAAATGACTCAAGATTAAATCGTCATCAACCATTGCAGCTTCAAGGATGGAGGGCAAATTGTGATATCAAATTATTGTGGATTACCAGGCATGTTTAGAATATCTTGTTAAGTACACATCCAAAGGGGAAAAAGCATCTTCCGTTGTTAATAATGCATTCACCACTATTGTTCAGAAGCTTTCAGACACAAGTGACATTCATAACACATTTAAGCAGATAATGATCAAATCTGTAGGACAAAGGGACTATTCAATTCAAGAGGTCATGCATCATTTACTCTCTCTTAAGTGTGTAAGTGCTACTTATGAAGTAATAAATGCATCTCTAGATGGCTCAAGAAGAATTCAAATTGTAAGAGATAAGGAATATTGTACTGCCCCATCCATGCTCGATATATATGCTGAGCGAAGGAAATACATGAAAACATTTCCAAGTATACTAGAATGCAACTTTGTACAGTTTACATCTACATATATTAATAAAGGTTCAAAACTAGAGAAAAGAAAACGACCAGTAATTGTTAAAACATATCCAAACTATTCATCAAATCCTCAAAATCAGCATTATGGGCTTTTTGTAAATATCAACTACTTAAGTATAAACCTTGGGAGCATACACCAGATGATGCCTGGAGTAATGCTGAACACTGTAATGAAACATTCAAAACATGTTGGATGAATTTTCTCTGTAGTAACAATGGAAAGGCTGTAGTTCCTGACTGGGAAATCAAGTTACAAGCCTTAAAGGAATCTATTAAGCTAGAAACTGACAATTTTACAACAGAAAATGATGAAGAAGAGGAAAAGGAAGAATGGATGTTAATGTCTGAGTTGAATATTCAAAACATTACTAATGATGCACAAAGTTCTGTCTTAGCTCCTGAGGGATATTGGCACAATGTTACTGAACACTTTGATGAAGAGCAACTAAATTCTGTAGTATCTTGGTTAGCGAATCAAAAATCTATGAATAATCCTCAGTGGCAAATGCCAACAAGGATAGTAGATATTTCAAGCTTTAGTACAAACCAAAGATTGGCATACAACGTAGTTTGTGATCACTTTAACAGAAGTGACAAAGAACCTATACTTCTCTAATTAAAGGTATTGCAGGGTCAGGAAAAGCTATCTCATTGACGCCATTAGAAATGTACTCCAAACACAATGCAAGGTGCTAGCGTACACTGGAAAAGCATCTTTTAATGTGAATGGTGTAACTTTGCATTCATTTCTCAAATTGCCAATTGGCTCAAAAAGACTCACTGAACTAAAAGGAATAGCACTACAACAGCTTCAAAGTAATGTAGAAAATCTTCGGTATTTGATAATAGATGAATACTCTTTGGTTGGTCAGAGTTTGCTTGGCTGGATAGATTCTAGATGCCGACAAGCTACAGGCCTGGCAAATCAGAGTTTTGGTGGTCTTTCGGTTATTGTTGTGGGTGATATAGCACAGTTACCCCCTGTTGGTGATAAACCACTTTACCATTCAATGCCCAAAACAGATAAGCAGATTCAGGGTCATCTCATGTATCAACAGTTTAACAAAGTAGTTGCATTGACAGTTAACCACAGAGTTGATGGTAACAGTAGTGAGCAGCACCTTTTTAGGGATCTTCTTCTCAGAGCACGTAATGGTGAATCCACACCAGCTGATTGGCATACATTACTGTCAAGAACTCCAGACCGTGTATCAAATATCCAGGAATTTGAAATGTCATCAATAAGACTATCCTATCTCAAGTCTAGTGTTGCAGAGATAAACATAGCCAAGTTAAAAGCTCTTAATCAACCAATAGCAACTATAAAAGCTCGTCACTCTGGTGGTGCTCAGAACCTTAGCTCAGATGAAATGGGAGGCCTAGAGCCTGTGATTTACTTAGCAAAAGGAGCGAGAGTAATGCTCACTATGAACATCTGGACTGAAGTTGGACTTTGTAATGGAGCCCTAGGGACAGTATTAGATTTTGTTTATCCACATGACCAGACTCCCCCGACGCTACCAATTTGTGTTCTTGTACAGTTTGACGACGATTATAATGGCCCTACTCTTTCTGCTAGATTTCCAAGATGTGTTCCAATTTGTCCAATAACACAGGTTTCTCAAAACCTAGGTCAAAAATGTGAAAGACAGCAATTACCCCTAAAGTTAGCATGGGCAATCACTATACACAAGAGTCAAGGTTTAACGCTAAAGAAAGCCTGGGTTGATCTTGGTCCTTCAGAAAAATCTTCAGGAATGACATATGTTGCACTAAGTAGAGTTAAGAAACTTGAAGACCTAATGGTAGAACCCATGACCCTGGATAGACTGCAAGCACCCAAAAAAATGTGCAATTTAAATTACAGACTTAAAGAAGAAGAGCGGCTAGATGGTTTAGCCCAAGATACTTTGGACAGTTTATTGTAGAATCCTATTGCCCTAAATATATTAAACATCCAAACCAGATAAAACCACTTTTAACAATTAGAGTTTGATTAACCAGATGTGAGCCTTGATTCAAGATAATGTAAAGGATACAGATTTTAACTTGAAATAATGGCATAAATTGAGTGGAAAACTGCTACAATGTACATAACCTTTATTTAGAATTTTTATTTTTTGTTACAGATTCTTTGTGGAAAGAATGTCAAAGCGTGAGCCAGACCTTAACTCGGGTAAGTATTATGATTATGGGGGGGGGGAAGAACAGTAGATCAGAATGCAAGGAAAATGGTGAATAGGTACTAAACACAGAGACTACAGTGATTTGTTGCCTATTTAACATGAATCTTTTGATTTTTTCCTTAGAATCACTCTGTGGCTTTATACATAATTTAAGCCCTGTAAAACGCTCAAAGAGAACGGATTGGTTTGAGTTTCATCTGCAAAAAAGTCCTTCAAAGTACAGCAGTAGTTGGATTTAATATCCCAAGCCACTCAACCTTCAGTGGACATAACAAATCAAAAACCCTGTGCTGCTGTCAAATACTAAGAAGAATGATTCGAACAAGGACATTATCTTCAACCAACAGTCAATTGTAAGGTCTGCACCAGCGTTCGACATTGACTTTGATTATTCTCCAGACATTGCTGCATCTGAGTCATCCTCCTCTTCAGTGCAACCTGCTACTACGATCACTCTGGAACAGGTACCAACTCTAAAGATAAACCAGAAGGTCAACGTCACAGCAACGATTTCATTGGGCAGTGAACAACCTAAGCCGGTTGAAGTGAAATCCACACAAAAGATGACGCTCGTCAAAGAGGATTGTGTCTTAGAAGATGAGACAGGTACAGCTGAAATTCACATTTGGGATGAGCTCATCAACAACGTGAAAAATGGGACAACATATGAATTCCAAAACCTGAACGTCAAGCACTTCAAAGGAAGCACCCACTTAGCAACGACACCAGCAACTACCTTCAAGGAAGCCAGCAAACAACTTAAGTCTGTGCAAGGGCCTACACTACTGGAAAACCCAGAAAAAGAAGTTAAAGTCGACATGTTCAAGTTTCTTAACAACCTAAGCATATTCGTTGCTTGTCAAGCTTGTAAGAGGAAGATAACAGAGAGTGCCCATCAGAAGTACATAAAATGCAGGAACTGCGGAGTAAAGGCAGCGTCAAGGCGAATGCAAGAGAGATGCATCTGTGCAAGTCAAAGTAGAAATAGCTGGAAAGGAAATATGGCTGACAGCGTTCACAAAAGAAATTGAAAGTCTTCTGGCTCTGTCTCCAGAGCTTTCCCTTATGAGTGACTCAGAATCTATTGAAGACCACCTTATGGACCTCAAGGATATCCACTTCACCTATAATGTGAACAAAAACACCATAACCCAGGTGACATCTCTTTCAAATGGACTGGCGCAATGACACTATGGAACGATTGATTAATGGGCTATCTTGGCATGAAACTACTTACTATGTAAACTACGTTCAAAGTTGCCTTCTAAAATCATGTTAAAACACGAACATGAAACATTTTAAAAAACAAAGAAATCATGTGAGATATGCATTTTTTATCTCTGTTACAAGTTCAGTTCTTAAAGACATTTCAAAAAACAAGGATTTGCATTTGGAATCTACTTTACAAGTTTCGTTTTTAAAAACATTCTAAAAGACGAAGAAAAGCATCTCAGATTTGCATTTGTAATTTACGTTACAAGTTTTGGTATTAAAGACATTTGACACATTTCAATTCATGCTCATTTGTCTCAGGTAATGCAAGGGCTACATATATTTCAGCTCTAATCTGCCTTACAAGTTTAGTTCTTACGGACATTCTAAACAACAAAGAATAGCATGTGCGTTTTGCAATGCTTTTTTAAACAATCATTCAATTTGAAAAAAATGTTCTGTAGTCTGGTTACTTCTTCATTTTCATTCGGCAAGCAACTGTCGCCGTTTTTACTCGTTGGCACTCTAGCGCCAGCTATTTCTAGTATTTTAAGGGAGAACATGCGTGGCGGGGATTTTTGTATACCAATTCATAATGAACATTTTCACACATAAACACCAAGTTCTACAAGCTTAATTATATAATTATAAGCTTACAATTGGCGTGGTAAAAACAGATTCCATGCGATGATTCAGGTCGATGCGATGAACACAACTTCGAGCAAAGCACACTCTTTTTTTATTAGAAGTAACGAGGTTTCCTCGTCTTCTACCGTGCAATTTTTACTTACAGTTCATTTATGTTAAGAACCCGGTAAAGTGACTTATATGATTTTCATATATATTCGTAACTTCAAAGTGACTTTTGATCAATAGCGCTGCGCGCCGTTACTATCAATAGACCCGAAACTCAGACAAACAAACTGAAATTAACATTAGCGAATTCCTCACTTTTGTCTTTTGTTATTAAAATGTCAGGTTTGTCTGGCTTTTATCATTAAAATGAGGAAAATGACAAAACTCAGACAAAAAAATTGCAAATTAGTCACTTGACGTCATTCGCGCACTACGTTATTCACACTCGCGTTCTTTGTCATAGAAGGGGGGCGTAAGGGGGGTACAAATACCGCAAAACCGCACAGAAATACGTATAAATACCGCACAGAATAACATAAGAAAACCGCAAACCGCATTGAAATTACCCGAAAATTTCTACATACTGCAAACCGCTTGGTTTTGTAAAACCGCAATACCGCAACTTAAAATAAAAATCACCGCAAAACCGCACCAAAAATCGAGCAAAACCGCATCACCGCAAACCCTTACGCCCCCCTCTCATAGTTTTATGTCTATCATTCTTTCTGTAGTAAGCTCCCTGTATATATATTATTTAACAATTATTTGCCGAAGGTGAAGTTAATATTGTTGAATAATCCCCAGATGAAGTTGAGGGATTATTCAACGATATTAACTGAGCCTGAGGTGAATAATATTGTTTTAGTATATTCACACGAAGTGATCTCAAATGAATCAGAAAGGAAACCATTAAAAAACGATTAGGTTGATTGACGGGTGAATTCATGCGTGAACACGAAGCCGTAAACAGTGGATGCGCAAAAGTTAGATCTTTACAATATGGCGAATGATAGTTTTAATCTTTTTGTATCGAGTTTTGTAAGCTTTAGCATCAACGGGTTAAACGAAAACGCCAAATATTTATATTACTACCCAATTCTGAGAGGAAAAGTAGAGCTTTATTTGTTTCTGTCAACTCTCCGTGAACGAGAAAGTTTTCTTTATCGCTTGCCTACCCTAGTATTTCTTACATTGGTATCCCTCTGTTTCCTTCAGCGTAAACTAAAGAGTTTCTTATCATATAACTAAATTGTATTTTATTAATAATGAATCCAAGAATCAGCTCCCAACGGCAATAAATAATAAAAGTTGGCCACTCGTTTAAGCTATAACAAAAACTTTTGTTTTGGGCTTCTTCGCGGTAATGCAGACACCTCAAATCAATAAAAGCACCCAGCCTTCGGCCTTGTGCTTTCATCTGTTTCTCGATGTGTGGATGCCCCAATAAAGAGCTCGCACTCATTCTTGATATATTACTTAACCCACTAGAAACATGAGGTTCGGGACCTACTCAGTTCTCAGTCTTAAAGTGTCACATGAAGCGCAGGCAAAAGTACTTATCCCATCTGCATGTCCTTGAACAGTACTTTCAGTAATGCATCAGTCAATTCCACCTGCGCCCAGCCATCCCCCCCCCCCCCTTCGGCTGACCCTCCTTTGTAATAGTGTTATGATTCTAATTAAGACTTCACGTCGCGACGACATGCACCAGTTTATGGTTTTAGTATTGATATGAAATTATTGACATTAAAATTAATAGAGCACTGTGAAGTTATATGTTATGAATAGTTTTTTTAAATATGAAAGGATGTTCTTCAAATAATATCAACAGAAATTTGATTCAATAACCCAAAAACATTGATTAACATCCATAGCTCCAAGTTCGCAATGTAATTCTGGCTTGATAAACATTTTGAAGAAATGCATGCATAAAATTGAGAACATGTACATGCCTTTACAACCCTCTTCAATTTATTCCCGTCCTTGACAGATGAGCCAACCTGCTTTTTTTTTCAGTAAAACCTTCTGTGTAGTTATATTCTGATAGGAAATCGCGTGCGTGTCAAAAGCTCAGGAATGGCCCCGGGGTTGGCAAATGCCCAGCCCCCGGGCAGTGCAAATGCCCCACCCCGGGACTGACAAGGTGGGCAAATGCCCCGCAGTAGCCGGGGGGCTGGGTGCAGGTGAAATTGACTGATGCATAATGTCAGCACAGTATATACTGGCTTGTATAGTTGGTACAGTCTGTACCGCTACGATTGGTAGGAAAAGGAGAGTTTCAACTGTAGAAACCGATTTCGGAAACATACTGGATTCTTTGAATGATACTTTCACATATTCCAGCAGCTGAAGCATATGACCTGAAAAACAACTTGTGTAATCAGGCAAAACATATTTTATTACGTAATGGCTATTGTTCTCTGTCAGTAGCTAATGAGCGCAAGCCTCTGGATAGCTACTGGCCTACTCCGGATTAGTCCACACGAAGTTTCACTATCGTGATTGATTAATACAGTCTATCTTTCTTATTAGTGAAGAATAATAAGGGGGAGGGGGGCTTAAAAGAGAGGGGGGTTTATTAACTTTCTTCCCCTGAAAAGTTGGGGGGGTGCTTATCAGAGAGAGGGGGCTTATTTGAGAGGGGGGACTTAATAGAGGATTTACGGTACTCATAAGCTCAGGAAATAACGTCACTTGCGATATTAGCGGTATTTCCTTATTTCACTCTTCACTTAAATTGCAGTCTTACATGTACTAAATAAATATGTATTTGGCTGTTTATGTATCATTTGTATTACAGTGATGACCCCCACCCTCCCTCCCCTCCCACTGTATCCATAATCCATGCAAAAATGCCCCAAACTACTACACATGGTACTCTGCAGTTTAACGAAGCAACTATATATAGACCAACAATGTAATCAGAGATATATACAAGGATGAGGGTACATTAAAGAGATAGAAGTTAACTTCCACGCGACAAGAGTGCTTATCAATGTCATGAATATTTGATCATAGCCCCTTTTTTTTGGGGGGGGGGGGTTGTTGGGTGTACTTCGTTATATGGCCTATATGGGGGTGTGCCACTGGACAGGGAATGGTTTTGTCCTCTCTGTTGTAAACAGGGTGTAATATTTTTGTGCAAGTCTGTCTTAAACAGGGAAAAACTGTGCATGCGACAATCCTGAAAGGTAATATGGGATAATGATCAATACACTGTTCCTGACACTGGAGCTGTCTAACCTATTTTTTGTTGCGTTCCTTTAGCACTCGCAAACAAATGTCTAAGGCCTCTCATGCTATTCTTTCAAATTTCTTTGAAGAACAGTGAACTCAAAATCACCCACATTACCTTTCGGGATTGTTGCATGCACTTTTTCCAACAACCTTTCTCGAAATAGCTGTATATAATTTTGTACGAGGCTGTCCTAATATAAACGGGCTATTGCCTGCATGATTGATTTGCTTGATGAAATTTGTGTATACTCCAAGTACACAAAAGCAATGACTATAGCATGAATTTGCTCTATTGCAAATGTCAATAAATGGCTTTAAAACAAGACGACTTGTATTTTGTCCTTTGTCCAAAAGAGGGTGTAGAATTGAGGGTGTTATCCTAAACAGGGTATGTACTTAAGGATTTTTTTGTCCTTAACAGGATCAGGGTTTTAAACCCTTAGCGGCTCACCTGTATCCAAATATTCATCTAGAAAACCCCCTGCCACCCCACCTGGGCCACAGCCAGCCTTTTAGTGTTTGTTTCCTGTTTAATTTCCATGCAGATGCTGACACAACTGTTTTGGTTTTTGTTCCTTTTGCAGTGACTGTGATTAAAGTTACTTGATAGGCTTCTTGTGACATCCAGCTGAATGGAGGTAGTCAAAACTTGGTGTAATATTGTTTTCCACTTACCTTTTGTTCATCATTCTGCAGTATAAGTGAAATATATTTACTGCTCTTTGTTCCTCAATCATTACACATTAGGTACTTGCTTTTTGATTGTCCAAATTTTTGTAGCTTAAAATTAAGTCTCAAGTCATAGTTGTAGTAAAACAATTGTTGTTTTCAATTGTGTTTTCATTCATGTTTTGAGCTTTGAAAGTGGTAGTGCGATTTCTTTGACAAACAATGCAAAAAAACAGCAGCGCGGACCCCAGGGTGTGCAGGGGAGTGCTCCCTTATTTGACCTAAATGCATATGGGTATGTGCTGCTGAAGAGGGTATGGTTTTCAGGGTGTTGAATCTTAAACAGGGTATACAATTTCACTATTAAGCATCTTGAACAGCCAAGATGTTAGTTTGAAAAATTACTTAATCCTGTATGCAAGGTAAAATGAATCAGGGTCGTAAAATAAGGTCTCTTGTCTTAAACAGAGCAGTGAGAAATTATGAACAATTTTTGTCTTAAACAGGGGCAGGGTTTGAAGGTCTAGGGGAGTACACCTGTACCCAAAATACCCTTCAGTCCCCCCCATCCCCCGGGGTGCAAACATTGCAATGGCTTCTCAATTTTAATTGGATGCTTACATTGTATGATTATTTGATCCCCTCTTTTCATTGGTTTATTTCAGTGTGCTAAAATACATTTAAGCCCACAAAATGCGCCACAGTGTCCATCTCTCAGCTTCCAAACCATGCACTAGGCTAACTGAAATCCAGAAATTTCTTCTAGTGCACTACAATAATTTGAAAAAATCCATCCAAAACTTTAAGTGCTACAGCTCAACTAATTTCAAGTAATCCAACAACCAAAGCTCAATGGAGCTGTTCCTAGATTTTTGTGTGCTGGCCTGTAATAGTCACACTGTTTGCTCCTTTCTGATTGGGTGGTAACAAACATTGCCCTTACATGAATACATCCTGTGGGAGGGAAGAGCACTTCAAATTACATTTTGGCAAATAAATGTGAGGCCTACTTAGCGTTTTATCTTTCACCTTTTTCTTTTAAGAGTATAAAATGTAGTTCTTGACTTGGGAGGAAAAACAGCCATATACTGCTTTTGTTAGTAGAAAAAGTTCTCACTAGAAAAGCTTTTCTAGTGGACTGGAGTATTCGGTGACCTTCTGTGCCATTGCTGAAAGTCCTACTTTGTTCTGATTGGCAGAGATGATTTTGTGGTGCTGATCAAGAGAATCTACAAATAGTCTGAAAATCTAACGTTCTTTTGTATGAGAGAAAAACTTTGATGCAATGGGCTCCTGCCTATAGTAATAAAATTTACCCTCTTTTCTCATCAGGATTTGTCACCTTACACAGCGTCCACGTCACAGGAATGCCAAGAAAACATTTCAAACTCCCCTTCCAGGAACAAATTGAGAGGTGCGGCGTTAAGCAGTGAACAGAGTTCAACAAAAGCAGGTTTGTGAACCATCAACCGAGAGCTGGCCTTTCAGTTGGCTAAGGTCACTGTAATAGTAATAATAGTACAATACTGTGGTCTGTTAACATTTAACTAACAGCCTGCAGTAGGTAAGATTGTGAGACATAAGTGTTATATCCGCCAACTCTCACGCATTATGCGTGACTGTCTGGCTAAAGACATCGATGTCATGCATCAAGGACTATTTCTCTCGCCTGACTCACAAATCCGGACAAATTGTTCTTTCACATAATTAATAACAAAAAATTCAATTCAATTTCCTGGAAAATATTCCAAAAAGGCGCTGAAAGATGACTTTGTGTCCTAATGAAATCAAAACATGCTGAAATTGTCGTCTTTTGAATAGCTTTGGAAGCTAGGTTCAGAAGTCTTTTGAAAATCGTCAGACATCCCGGTCATGACGAGACGAAAATCTCACACATTTGACTCAGAAAAAGTTGGCAGGTATAAAGTCTCTGCTACAAAATGACATGCACCACACACACAGGGATCTATAGAGGGGACAAAATTACAAAAATAATGTCCACAAACACATACTCCCACCCATGCACAAAAGTGTTTGGGTTGCAACCAGAAGGACTGTAACCTTTACATGTACATTGACATAGTGAAAAAACCAACAAATGAATGTGTACCCAAACATGCTCTCTCCTGTACTTATGGACACAGTTAGGAGTAATTTACCCATTACCACACCGGGATATTGGTGTGTCTTATTAATGGCTTTTATCGGTGTTACAAGTTTTCCTTGGTTGTTATAAGCAAAATTGTCTTGGTAATATGTTAGGACAAATGTTTCAAGGCTCTTCATTTGAAATAGTTTAAAAGGCACACACAGTCCAACTGAAAAAATAATAAATTACTCAGTCAACAAATGATTAAATTTCAGGCTCATCAAAGGGACTTCAGCCTGTAGATGAAGGCAAAAGGCCATTATCTCCTGGTGGTTACCCACCTCCAAAGCAACTGAGATTGATGAAAGATGAAGGTAAAGGTTGTGCTGGCTACATATATGTATGTTTCAATTAACATCAGTGCTGTCTTTTTTAATTTAGTTGTGAATTTCATTTTTGTATGTGAGGGTTTGTATTTGCACAGTCTCTTGAGATCCCTTGAGTATTGAATTTATTGGTGTGTTGTTTATTTAAGCTAATAAGGTAAATATAAACATTGATAACCAACCATTTTTTGAAGAACAAACCTGAGCAAGATAAAATTCTGTAAAAAACTACAGAACCTCAGTGGCAAAAATGGAAAAAGAAGCAACGTAGGAAACTGAGCAAAAATATTGAAAAGAAAAAAAAAAAGTTAATCAAAGCTACAAACAGTTGCAAGAATGTTGAGACACTCGGCACTAACATGCAATAAGGCGTTCTTTTTTCCATGTGATGGTGAAAGTCAGTGGACAGGCAAACTCCCCCCCTTCAAAGAAAAAAAAAGGGGGAAGCAGGACATATGATAACAGGGTAACTCTAAGATTATGGAGACACTGTTTAGGCCCAAATGAGATTCACTGCAGTTAAAAATAGATGGTTGTATTACAACTGAACCTTCATTAAGCAGTCACTTATTAATCACCTTATGTAAGGTTAGCTGGATTCCAGACTCCTGGGCTTTGGATTCTGGAATTCAGCCCAAATTCCACTGAAAGGAATCCGGAATTTGTATAGGTAATCACATGATTTCGAGTGCAATTTGGAATAAATAAGCATGAGTAAATTTTTCAAAGACTAACAAAAGTGCACGAGCCCATAGGGCGAGTGCACTTTGTGGTCTTTGAAAAATTTACAAGTGCTTATTTAATCCAAATTGCACGAGAAAAATCATGTGATTACTTATTAATAATATACACGAAAAACATAACTACAACAACAAATTTTGACAGCGCGCGCGTTTTTAGTTCATTCAACTGATTGGCTGAAACATTTGTCACCTTTGTCAAATTCAAACTTTTTCAAGACCAACGCTTTCAAAATCATTCAGCTAAGAACTTGGAAATGTGCAAGGATTTTTTTATATGATCACCAGCCTGTTAAAGATAACTTGGTTTACAACAATCAGCAAAAGTAAGTGTTTTTAAATTCATCCTCGATTATGAGAGCTCGGCGTTTACAAGAAGCATTTTCAAGAAGTATACTGCCGTTTTTAAATCAGGAGAACGCTTCGAGCAGCCAAAGATGAAAGACACTTGCTAAGGATTTTTAACGACTGTTTATCATTGTCTGTTCCTGAGACCCCATCATAGCTGGATTCATGGACAAATTTTTGAGATTTAAAACCCGAAAATGAAGGAGGCAATTTGTTTTCTTTCGACGCTACCATCGATGGGTGAGTGGAGCCACAGTTGTTGTGATGTCGGAAACTGTCAGTATTAATATAATATTTGCTTTTTCTCAGCGCTGGAGTTTTCATTATTTTATTTGGGCTAATGCAAGATTCATCGTAGCTCTTCCTCGTCGGTTTCATCGTAGTCGTTAAGGAAATTTATACCTCTGTGGCCTGTGACACTGAGGATATGTTGTGAACTTACAATCTTTGCTTTCTTCACCTGACTGCATGTTGTTTTTCTTGCACAATGATTCGTAAACTTTTTTCTCACTTTCTTTAAGGCTAGTACCAGCTACGGATACTTTTCATTGTGTGAGTTGTGGTATTTTCACCCATTGGTTTAGTTTGGACCAGAAGTTTAAATTTTCAGTTTCGTTTGCTACTGAGGTAGAAAAAAAAGACCATCACATGGATGTTTTAATAGAGGTCTTCGCTCCACAAAAGACTCAGAGAGAGCAACAAATAACGTACATGACTTGAAATCCCTGTTGTTATCATTGAATAATCCTTGTTCATTTAAATGCCTGAAGAGTGTAGCTGTCATGGTTTGCGTGTGGTTGCAACCGTTTTTGTTCTTTATTTTTTTTACTTTAGCGTAGTCTGTTATGAGTAGCTTTTTTTTTAGTTTCTCTGGCTCATTTTCCTCGATTTTGTCGACAGTATTTTTCTCTTAGCAACGCCTTTTCAATACATTTAGCGAGAAAGACGTACTTTTTACCGTGTTCGGGTTTTTTTGGAATATTTTTTTAAACTTTTCTATTGTTTTGCTTACAAAATTTAATCCCGTCGTCGTCTGCTGAAAACCATGGCCATTTTCTTGAATCTGTGTTGTTAAAACAGCTCTAATCTGATTGGTGCTTGTTGGTTTCTTTTGTGTTTTCGGCCAATCAGAAAGCATTTGTTATTTGCACTCGTGTTACAAGTTTGCACTCGTGTTACACATTTTGCACTCGTGTTACAGAACAGCTGCACTCCTTTCTCAGCCAATCAGAATTGAGTAATTTTTTCGTGTATATTATTAATTACCTTATCTAGCTGGGCATCTTGGTCACTTTTCTTACATAACTTAATATCTTTTACTCCAGTTTTAAGGAAATATTTTATTTTGCACATCTTTGTAGAACGTAGGAACAAAAAGCCCTTTCATTACTGGTTAATTAAGATTGTGAGACATATTTTGCTATGCGACTCCTTTAAAAGGCAAAATTGTCACAAGTTATGAGATAACAAAAATGGCAAAAACTGCTGTTTTCATCTGGCCATTTTAGAACACACAAACTTAGGGAAATGACAGAAATACTGTTTATTAAAACCAGCTCGATCCTTATGCACTGCATTTCATCAGTTTAATAAGTCAACACAATGGCTATAGGTATGAAGTACTTGGACAACCAGTTGCAAAAATTTTGAGACACCTAGCCTGCGAGCAAGCTCTCCAATTTGGGCTAAGGAAAGGAGAGCCTGCAACGATCTCTCATAAATTTTCATTTCCACCCCGGAAACCCCAGGACTCCACAAAGCATGAAAACTATCACCGCAAACGTGCAGCAGATTAGAAAAGTGACAACTGCCTGTCAAGTAAGTTTAGACAACCAAGGGCACGTAGAATTATTTATTTATAAATCGCTTTTGCAACAGCATCAGAGCAATGTTTTTAATCACTGATCTGTTTTTTTTCCACGGGCCAATCAAAATTCAACTTGTTTGTACGGATAAGAACTCACTACTTTGATTCTCGTTCGTCCATACTGCAGTTCAGAAGACTACTCCCCATCGCAATCACCAACAAAAACATCATATATTTCTGGAACTGGAGAATAGCGTTTTTCTGCACTTGGTTCTCTTAAGTTTTACTCCAGTTGCTTCCAACTCTTTCTCTTTTCCTTCTTTACAGTCAAGCTACACAGCTACACTGTCAAGTACATGTTTTGAATTTTTCTACCCAGTAAAATTCAATCGGGCGAAGAAACCGGTCAAAGTCAAATGTCCCGACCCCGGGGTCGCTTCGCACGATCAAACGTCCGACAGGGGGATAGTCTCAGGCATCAAATCCCCACCCCTTGTCCGCACTCCCCCCCACGGGATTTACATTGAGAGGTGCATTATCCTCAGCTCGCAATATTCTCTTTGCAAGAATTACATCAAACCAGCCTGTCTACTTTGAGGGCTGAAACAAGTTCTCGTTACCAATCTGATCCCCCTGAGAACCAAATATGACACACAGACAAAGCGAGTGTCAGCTTGGCCTGCTATCAATCAACTTTGATTTCCAGAAAGTCATTTTTCGGCCAACGGTATTTTCCTTAGTCTGGGCGAATTATAAATGAAATTTTATGCGAGATCGTTGCAAGCTCTCCTTTCCTCTGTTCCTCGCGGCTTTGCTGCTCGTTCTCACGAGACTTGCTTCACTCACCCAAATAGGAGAGCTTGCTCTCAGGCTATGAGACACCCCAACGAAAAACTGGCCTTTTTTACTTTATATTGCTTTTAGTCAAAAATCTGTGAGATATAACAGTCACCCTCCCCCTCCCCCTCCCCTCCATTCAAAGTTTTTCCTCTTAAGTCTTGAGCTTAACATTGTATTCCTTCCAAATTTGACAAGGGGAGGGGGGAGGATCTCAAGCACAAGATCATCGACAGGTCTTTTAAGCCCAAATAAGGTACTGTCTCAAGCATTTTTTGCAACTGGTTGTGGCTTGGACCAATTATGTATTTTCTGACAACAAATTCAATTGCTTCGCCAGCAGAACTGCAAAAAACAGAGGATACAACTAGCATGACTTCAGAGGGCAGCGATGGCAATACACCCCAGCTAACCACTGGTCTTCCAGAGAATACCATTAGCAGATCAGAATGCAGTGATGGTAATACACCACAGCTTGCCAGCGGTTGTCCTTCTTGTTCAAAGAATGCTGCAAGTAACCCAAAGAAGTCCACCAGGGACCCTCCTGAGCTTAATAAAGCTCTCCCATCATTGGGTGATGTTGACATAGATAAAAAAAACCCTGATCTCCCTGTTGATGTTTTGTTACTGGTGGTGAAAAATTGCGAGTTCTTAGCTTGTTACAGTGAGCTTAAGAATCCCTATAGATGTTACTTTGATGGTCTTGGCTATGTTTACTTTTCTGATGTGGGTGAGAGTCAAGAGAAAGTTAAAGTTGCATTATTAAGATGTTACGAAAATAGTAGTTGTCCTGGTGGTTCTCTCATCTCTGTTAAGAATGCTGCCACTGTGCTAAAACCTAAAGCAGTTATATCTGTTGGTGCATGTAGTGGTCTTTACCCTGAGAAATCCAAGTTAGGAGATGTTATTGTTTCTGCCAAATTAGCAACATATGCATCCAAAGTGGTGACCAATAATCAAGAACAGTCAACTGGCATGAGGAGTTATGTGAGCAAACATTTCCTGGATGTCATTAAGAATTGTGCTGAGGGCTGGAAGGCACCTTTAAAGAACCAGGATGACCATAGTGATGCTCCGCAAGTTCAAGTTAAAACTACTGCTGAGTTTCTGACTGGACCAGAACAAATCACATCTGCCCAGCGACGTGATCAACTTGCTGAAACCTATCCTCAGGCAATAGCAATAGAAAATGTAGGAGAAGGTAAGTTGACTGATTTGTTTGAAGCATGTCTTTATATATAAGTGGGTACATACAGTCAGGTCTTTCAACTTTGGAGACATGAAATGTGTGGTTAAATTGAAATTGTCCAGGCTTGAATTGGCCTTAGCAGAAACTCATTAATATAAGTCATTGCTTTAGCTGACTTGTTGACATCTGAGTTTTAAAAAAATCTGACATGTTGCCGTTTCTGATGAAATAAATTAAGTTTGCACTGCGGTATGTACTATGCACACTATAGTGCTGAAAAAAATCAGTAACTGTCAATCATTAACAAGGCAAATTAAAGATTCATTCGACCCTGATAACTTGAACTCGCGCTAGCTCGAACTGTTTTTTATTGTTTCTCTTTGGAATTCAAGGTTAATATACCGGGGTTCTACTGTAGTTTTATACAAACACAATTCATTAAAAAAAAAATCTATCCTTGATGTAAAGACAGATTTCGAGCCAATGAAAACCTTCCAGTACGTACATGTACATTTCACCTCTTGTCATTTAAAGTATAGTGGAACTGCATGCTGTAAACACAATGACATCCATTTCCAAAATAATAATTTATCACATATATTTATTAACTGGGCTGCCTGTGGCACAGGCCGGTTTATAAAATGAGTTCCTTTTTTTTGTTGGAGGGGTTTTTCTGGGAAGTCTTAGTGGGGGGTGTGCCGTCCGGCTCTCCTAATCTTTACACTATCTCAGAGAAATATCTATAAGGTTAATGTAAGGAGTACACCCCCCGGATTTATGTCATCAAAATGACCACTATCAATATTATTAACTTAGTAACAATAAAGCAATTTGTTAAGTGGAGGCATTCGTTAAATGAAAATATGTTTGAAGCTAGCCTACTGGGCCTTTTCATCGTCTCCTTCAAAAGATGCTATGATGAGTACCTTTTGTGGTTTTTCTTCACTATTTGTTGAGGTATGAGTTTTTCCCCATCCAAAAGGTGATTGCAAATCTCTGTGTTTATGTGTGGCTAGAGTGTGTGTGTGTTTGTGTACATCTATTGAAGAAAGACTTCTGTCAAGCTATCATTGGCACTTTTTATCAGTGCCATTTTCAAAAGATGGTAGGATGGGTTGCTTTTAAGTTTTCTTTTCTCTTCATGTTGAAGTTTAAATCGTTTAAATGTGACATTAAATGCTTGCTTTGCATGTGAAAAGTCATTCCTTACAGGAAAGGAATGTCGTGGGGAATGTGCTCATTGTAGAACACCACGCCGAAAAAAAATATAAATATATATCTGTCTGGATTTGCAAAAACATGGCTACAGAAATCTCTCTTATATACCCTCTGACTGAGTCTTGTAGTGGAGCATGGTTTTTTTTTTTTTTTCTTAGTTACTTTTTATCTATTTAATCGGTACCGGATAGGCCACAATAGGTTTCTCGCTCGCTATTAACCTATTACCCCCCCAAAATGTTTTTCATAACTTCCCATAATTCTCTCTGTATGTCAGTTTGAAATCAGCGTGCGTATTAGACTAAACTTGGCTCTCATAGTGGGTTGTCTTAGAGTCTTTTTGGCTGCCTTGAGCAAAGTTTTCCGGAAGGCATCATTAAGCCTTATAAAGGAACAACTCTCACGTCTGGCAAAGTCTGCTGCGTCCAATATCTACTGGTATTTCGTCTCATTTCGGGCTACACGGGTGATAGACTGATCCCGGGCTTGAGATGGAAAGATCTAGATTGGATATTGCCAGCTTTGTTGTTGGCAGTAACAAGTCTTTGGCCTCACAAAGTAGGTTCCTAAGGGTTGAAATCTATTAGGCAAGATGGAAATTCATGCTGATTTCCGACCAGGCCAAAGACTTAGTAAAAAATTGTTTGGAAGGCGGGGGCTGTATGTCTCCTTTTCAACCACTGGTTTACATCTGGGATCTTGAATAAATCGATTGTCAGTGAGTTGAGAAAAGTTGGGCGTATGGAAAAGCCAGAATCCAGAGCCAGAAATGGAAATGGAACTGGAACCCAAACTCGAACCCGAACCTAAGAAATAAAACTTGGAGACGTTTCTGTCTTAAGAGTGTCACTAACAATTATTGCTCGATCAAGACTTTTCATCCCCACATTATATTTATTTATTGTTATTATATTTTTTACTGTCGCATTTTTTGCGTGCGGCGCAAAATTTTTCTTCGAGAATTTCATATACGCGTGAGCGTTGCAACTTGGGATCATGATTGACATGAGTACTCCTCCTCCCTTTGCCGCCTTTTCCTCACAATGGATGAAACACGGAGCCCTTTTAAGAAATGAGTAACTTAGGCTCAAGAGAAGGAAATGAATAACACAGCGGTCTTAAACATCACATACTAATAATGGCTGTTTTTCGCAGTCAATAGGCTTCTGATTAGTTGTAGTCTCGATCTGCCGAAAATTGCTCGACCTACAGCTGCAGTCACAGTTTATGACTGCTAGGAATAACAGTAGGATGCAGTTACCTTTTTTTTTGCAAGTCACTTTCCCAGTGTGAGTATACCTTTGGTATCACGATCACTGTGCTGAAAATTTCTCAAAACAGTGATAACAGAAGACACCATCTTGAATTTTATTCCCACACGGGTATCGGGAACTGATTTCAGTGCTTCCCAGTTTAAGTTCCGGTTCTGGTTCCGGTTCCGGATTCCGGATTCCGGCTTTTCCATACGCCCAGAAAAGTTCCATGTGACGATTTATGTGGAGAAAGCGAGAGTTTTATGGAGTAATTTGACGATGTTTCGCCCGTGTCAAGTGTGGAGATATTATGAGTGGTTTTGGGAGGTGTTGTGATTGCCGCGAAAGTCATTTACTGTGTGATTTACCGAAAGTGTTGACAGACAATAAATCTCAGGTATGTGCGGTTGAGCTCGTGTTACTAGAATACTTTGTGTCAATCATAAAAACGTTTCGTGAGTGTTTAGTTCAGGTGATTGTGTCTTAGAAAGCCTATTCTGTGCTCAAAGATTGTGGATTCTTAATCTGTTTTCGACCGACACTGAACTGTGGGCCTCACGGTTTGACTGACTAAAAGACTACAATTTTTGGACGTTTCAAATGTTGTTTATTTCATTGCAAAATCCTATTACTTCTGCGAGAGAACTTTACCGTTTATTGCCAGCAATAATGCTGTCATTGTTTAGCTTCAGCTAGTGACTTTTAACTGCTTCCCATTCCACTTAGATGTCAAATAGTTAAAATGCACTTGAAATTTCTTTAGCCACATTTTAACAAATCCAGACAGATATATATACCTGTCTGGATTTGATAAAAGGTACCTCCAGAAATTTTTAGCAACAGTCTCATTTGAGGCTTGTTCAGTACTTGACCATTCTTGTTTTGTTTTTGTTTTTTTTAATGATCTTTTCGGTTCAAAAATCCCCTTAAAAGCTGCAGTAGATCAAAAAACATGTGTTTAATGTGCTGTTTACATCTCCCCCACCCCCCCTCGCAGTGTTACGGTATTTTGTCTCATTTTGGCTAAACGGGTGAAACACTGATCTCGGGCTTGAGACACAAAGGCATCATGTTGCGAGCTTTGATGTGGGCGGTGACAAGTCTCTGGCCTCCAAAAGTACCAGGCCAGAGACTTAGTAAAAAATTGTTTTGAAGGCTGCCGTCCATGTGTCCCTTTCAAAATGGCTCGGCTACATCAAGGATCTTGAATAAATCGACTGTGTCGACTGATGATTTATGTGGAGAGAGCAAGAGTTATTGAGAGAGAGTAATGTGATGATTTTTCACCCGTATTAGTGTGCAAACATTGTGTCTGGTTGGCTGTGGATAGTTTTATCAGTGCCACGAACGTGGTTAATTGTGTGATTTCCTGAAGTTGTTGACAGACAGATTTCAGGTATGTCGTGGCGCTCGTGTTATAAGAATATTCTGTACAAGCATGAAAACGCTCTAGTGATTTTGTCTTAGACAACCGATTGTGGGATCAAGAAAGGTGGATTCTAGGTCTGTTTTAGTTGGGCATCTCGCTATGTCAGCCTCATAGTTTAACAGACTGAAAGGTCATTATTTCTGTGCTTTTAAATGTTGTTCATTTCGTTACAAATCTGTCGCTTTTGCCAAGTACAGCAACTTTTCGTGTGTTGCCAGTGGTTAATTCATCTGTTTTAAGCCCTAACTAGTGACTTTCAACTGCTTTTTATTGACCTCAAGGGTCAAATTGTTAAAACGCACTTGAAATTTCTGGAGGTACCTTTTATCAAATCCAGACAGATATATATTCACTAAGACAGTTAGAAAGGCTTAATGACACAATATCAGACAAAAACAAAACTTAAATTTAATTTTCTTTGTTGGTTTTAAGAACCAAAATTGAGAAATGTACTGCTTGTTATTGACAGCTTTTTATGACCCGTAGAACAACAATAATTTTTGGAATTTCCGGTTAGGTCAAATTAGTCACGCTATATTTTGAGGAGCAGAGGGATTGGGGGAGGGGTGCGTGAAAATAATGCTTATTGTTTCCTGCTTAGAATGGCTCACTTGCTTATTTTTATTCATGGTGGAATTTGAAAAGGTACCATACAGCCCCGACTTAAAAATGGTACTCGTTTTTCCTGTTACGAAAGTCTTCCAAAAGGGTGCAATGTTCAAATGAGTAAATGTTCAACTCTCACATATGTGTGTCATGCAATGGTCAGTGACAAGCGTGGTGGCCTGAGAGTGAGTGTGTGCAGCCACCCTCTCCCCTAGGAAAATTGGCAGCCCAGTTAAAATCACCTTTTGGTGATTCTTGTTTACCAACACCTTAAAGGAAAAAAGAAATTGGAACCATTTTGTGCCTGAAATCTGTAATTTATTACCTTTTAATACCTGGAATGTGCAGTCCACTTTTTTGAGATATGGCAGTGGAAATAATTTTGAATAATTTAAACCCTCAGGTGCTAGACACTTCATGCGTGGTTTCCGATTTTGGTCAAGTAAGCATCCTGAGTGTTGCACATGAGAAAAAAACCTCTGGTACCCAGGGTAGTGGCCATAATTCACTGGCTATTATTTGTGGTTTATGGTCATTTCGCCAATGCATCGTTCTGCTAACGTGTTAGATCAGCAGTTTGCAATAATATTATTATTGCCAACGTATAATAAAGCCATGCGCGAAAGCTCTAAGGCAGATTGAATCTCGAAGTGATGTAACATGAGGTTTAGTGTAATAAGGTAACTTTTATGACATATTGCAGAACAGAGAATATAAGAAAAATATGCTATGTAAAGTCAGTATTTCAAATTCTTTATGCACTCGAACAGTTGAGTTCACCATTTTCAAGGTAATTTTTGGTCATGCAATCCAGTTGACTTCAAAGTATTTTACCCATTATACACTGCCTGCTTATGTTGCTGAGAAAAAATAATAAATTATGCTGCAAAATTTATTGTGTCCTTTGAAGTAAAATAATTCAGAAGGCTTCTTTGGCGCACCATTAATCTTTTTTTTTTTTTTTTGGCTGAAAAGTAGACTTCCTACACTTTAAAAAGAGACCAAAATTAATATAAATCTTTGGGTTGAATATTTGCAGACTTATGATTTTTTGAGGATTCTAAGTTTGCTCATAATACCACTAAATTGTACGCAAAATGACCTGTGTGCAACTTCGGACAAAAACACAAACTTCAATATCTTGAAAAATATGCTATGTTAAGTCAGGATTTCAAATTCTTTATGCAGTAGAACAGTTTAGTTCACTATTTTCAAGGTAATTTTTGCTTATGCAATCAAATTGAGTTCAAACTATTTTTCACGAAGACACTGGCTGTTTATGCCACAAGGAAAAAATTATAATGCTGGAAAAATTACTGTGAATTTGAAGACAAATAATTCGGAAGGCTTCATCGGTGCACCATAAATCTTTTTTTTTTTACCCTGAAAAGTAGACTTCCTAAACTGTAAAAAGAGACCAAATATAAATCTGTACATTGAATATTGGCGGACTTATGATTTTTCGAGGATAGTTCACTTACAAAACAACTAAATTTTATGCAAAATGATCTGTGCACAACTTTGGACAAAACACGAATTTCAATATCTCGAAAAATATGCTATGTAAAGTTGGGATTTCAAATTCTTTATGCAGTAGAACAGTTTAGTTCACTATTTTTCGTAAATTACGGTACTTCATGACATTTCTAAACAAATTGAACAGTGCACGCGTATAGGTATAAAAATATTTGCTCGTTGCCACTTAGCAATAGCTATAACTAGTAAGTAAGTAACTAACTAGAGAAGGTTATAGGTGTAACTCCTGTTGGGACTACTCATGATCAGTTCTGTGATCAGTGAGTCACTGACTAAATAAACATCTTATGTGTTATGTTAAAGTCATTTTGCTAATGTGATGTAAGCGTTGCTAACTCAGTTTGAGGACTAAGAACCAAATTATTTTACCCTGTGAAGTAATTTAAGCTTCTTGCAATTTTGTTGGTATGTGAATAAACCTGCCAAGGTTCAAGTTTCCTGCCAAGTTGCTTCTCCAACAACAACAACAACAACATTTATTTAAACACGATAAAATTACAGCGGAGCTGATTTGGTCGTGTATTTATAAGTTAAACACAGTTTGCAAATGAATAAAAAGCTTAAAAACTAATTAAAATTTAGAAAAAGATCTAACCTATTTGAAAAAATAAGCTATTCACATGAAGTTCTGCGTTTAAGAGAGTTTTTAAGTAAGCTTTTGCTTGAGATTGCACGCATATGATTGTCAAGAGAATTCCATAGAGGTATGGCTTTGTAACAAGTGGACTTGCGAAGAACTTCACTGTTTGGTTTTGGTAACAAAAAGGTCAATTTCCTTCGCAAGTTATAGTTGCACTCTTATTTCGTAAAAACACATGCTTCATTTTTGGAATTTGTTTGTAGGTTTTTCAAATAAGGGGTTTTTTAAGCCTGTTTAATTTGTGACCCTTTAGCAGTTCTAATACCTTATAAGAGAAGCGATGAGAATCCCGAGAACAAAAAACTCAGAAGCTACTTTCCAGGAAACTATTTACTCTTCAAATAAACCCTTCCTGGACAGAGGCTACTCATGCAATGTGATTGAAAAACTCCTGTCAGAAATGAGATTACCAGGAAAGGCCAACCGACTCCATGAATTTTGACAAGTAGGATGTCAGATTAATAAAATTACAACTTGGATGTCAAATTTTTAAAGACTTAAATGTCAGATTTTCAACAACTCGGATTGTACTTGCAAGCTTCCATAGATTTGGGCTTAAATAAAGGTGTTAACATTGCAGGAGAGCTTTGCTTGAGGTGGAAAGAGACAGAAAGTGCATGAGACATACATACATACATGTAGTCAGAGAAAGCAAAATAAATGTTATTCATTTCAAACATAAAAAGGTTGTGATTTTGGGTGTGGCACGTTTAAATAAAATCTGTAAGTTTCCCTGGAAAACCCTCTCAATTTTCACAGAATGATGTCATGTTCCCTGAAAAATAATATTGACCTAATTAAGTACAAAAATGACTGCCATTGTCTCCCACTGTCTGATCAAGTTTCCTATATATTAATTATAATGCTGATAAAGACAGTTCTGCAATTTAATTGAATAACGAGATTCTCTGAGATGTTTTACAGTTCGTGGTTTATATTAGCCTGATGACTGATTTAAGTTAAAGTTTTGTATGGAAAATGTCAGCTTACCTAGTCTTGTTTTCATGTGTTTGGTAGCATAAATGCTCCTTTAACTGTGAGTTCAACCGCTTACACTTGACCTTTTTTATCTTTTACTTCTGTTGCCAAAGAAATGTCTAAGACCAGAACAACAAAGGCAGCTGTATTTGATGTGTTGGGTCTGTAAGCTCCACACAGTTTTTTTTACATTACTGGTACAATGACCAATGTTGTAGTAAACAGGACTGTCTTAAAGCTCATGTACCCTTTGTTTTGTTGTTCTACAGGAGTATTTACAGCAGCATTTGATTGTCAAATTGAGTGGTTAATTGTGAAAGGAATAGCTGATTTTGCAGACGAGTTAGCTTCAGAGAGTTGGCTTACCTTTGCCAGTGTGATGGCAGCATCTCTTGTGGCACACATTTTGAATGATTCCTGTGTTTTTCGTTCATGGCCTCATTATCAAGGTAATCATTTTATAAAGTGCTGCCACTTCTTGGCATGTGATTTGTTAAATCCTTTGGTGGGTTTCTTCCTTGGTTCACCCAGAAGTATTAAGATACACTGTATTTGCACTGTGGATAAGTGCCTCCATTTAAGGTGCCTCTTCAGGTGTCCAATACTTACCTCTTGTTCAAGTCATGAAAGTTAAGGTTCAAGTGGTGCAAGTCGTGTAAGTGACATGAATTCTAAAACAATGTCTACCATTTTTGTGATCAGTTGAAGTGGTGAATGTGATATGTTTCCTTAAAATAACATGAAGCACTAGGAGTATGACTTAAAGTGCACACTTAGAATTAGAATGGCAAGTGGTAGGGAGGAGGGGGCTTTTCAAGTTGTGTAACTCATAGGAGTGTACTATGAGTTGTAAAACAGTGTATGCCATAATCCCCATTTGTGCCTTTAGTTCAAATGGTGAATGGATATTATGTTACAGTGAAATAATATGAAGGATGCCTTAGTCAAATTGAATATCATGAGGGACACAGAATTTAACTGACAAGTTATAAAGAGGGGTACTTTTCAGGTGGTACGACTCATACAAGTCGTGCAACTGTTGACAGAATGACATGTTGAAAGAATGACATGCAAGTTAACTAGCGCATACTTCATAGTATTTCATTGAAACATATCCATTCACACTTGAACTAATTGCACAAATGGTAGAAACTGTTTTTACAACTCGTACCACTCATACAAGTTGCACCACTTGAATCTACTGTTCTTAATACTAGAGCAAGTGGTGGGTACTGGACAATCTACTATCGGTCACATCATTAAGTGTCTATGTTTTTAGCTATAAGCTAATGGGGGACACATAATTCATAATTCTGCATAATTCTTCATATCATGTGAAAGCTGAATCCAATAATTGTTTAATAATTCATTCATAATATTTCCAAGTTTAAAACTTGCTTACCTCTGTGTCAATCAAAACATTTACTACTGCAGTAGACCTTGTCACGGTTTTATCAACGCCATTTCAATGACAAGTAGGCAAGGAAATTTTAGCGCGGTTACCAAGCTCTACAGACCATACAAATCTCTTGAAATTTCGGTAACGCGCTCCATTTTGCTAGGACTTCTCAACTTTTCCTTTGACTTCGTCGCACTTGGGAGATTTTAGCTTTACGAAATATTGAAGGTAAGTAGAGTTTCTAGCTGTGTGGTAAAAATTTTCCCAATCCTTCATTAAATGAGTCAGTTTTAGCACAAATAGCTCGTGGAACGTACGATGCGTGCAAAACAAAACAAAGTTAGCATAATGTGAGCAATGGTTGTTGAATTGGCCTAAAAAAGCGTCTGACCATCGTGTCGTGTTTTGGTTATATTTCAGTGAAATTCATACTGACCAGATAACCGAAGGAATGTACGAAAAAAATTCGTTACTCAAATCGATAGAATGCTGCACAGTACGAACAACAGCCTCCCCCGTGCACACGTTCTTTTGGCTCGTCACAAAATCCTCCCCATTGGAGGGGCAGGAACGCGTGACGAACCCCTAAGAACGTCTGCGTGAACCTTCCTCAGAATGGCGGGAGCAAGCTGATACTTTCCTGTCTTTCCTAGTATATAGTTCCTTCCTTGCGTTAACGTGTCCTAAAGATTGGCTGGTTGAACGCCAGAGGTTTCTCCTTAATTTTGAAAAGTATCGTAGAAGTTGAGCGACCTATTCTCGGACAGGTAGTCCCTATTCTCGGACGCTCGTTCATAGATGATTAATCCTGTTCATCATGTTGATATACGTCGTGTTGATGAAAAACGAAGTAATATTACTGCGCTTTTCACAAACATGCGAACTCTCAAGTTCTAAAGCCGCCTTCGCAATTGCGTTTTTCGCTACCGTCAATCATAATTACGATCACAAGGAACGAACCTTGAAACACAAAAACACACTAAACGGATCGAAATCCACCAATCACAAATCACAAACCTTGACCTTTTGAACCCGTTAAAGTAAAGTTTTGTTTCCTAAGAGGTCCGTTAAGATGATTGACGGCAGCGAAAAACGCAATCGTCAGTTGGCTTTTGAACTTCAGAATTCGCATGTTTGTGAAAAGCGCAGTAAAAGTGAACAATCCCTTTTCCCAACTTAAAAACCATTTTAAAGTCAGTTTTAGTGAATCCATCCTCGAGTTTTCGTCTCAGACTTAGCGCGCTTATTTTAAAAACAAACAAGCGTTTTGGAAATGGCATACTGCTATTTCTAGAAAGGTTGTCGGAAAAATGCACGCGACAATCCCGAAAGGTATTGTGAGTGGTTTTGAGTTCACTGTTGTTCAAAGAAATTTAAAAGAATGGCACAAGAGGCCACGGACGTATGTTTGTGAGTGTCAAAGGAAAGCAACAAAGAAGATTCGACAGCTTCAGTGTCAAGAACAGCGTCTTGATCATATCCCGTATTACCTTTCGGGATTGTCGCGTGCACATCTTCCCGACAACCTTTCTCGAAATAGCTGTATGTTAGTTAATCCCGACGGCTCGCTGTCAAACCAGGTAAGTTTCAGCTAGGAGCAGCTGGGAAAAGTAATTTCCTTCGTTCTTCTTAAATTATGAAACTGTTGCTGTTCATTATACCAGATTTTCTGCCGTAAGTAATTTTCATGTCCAGAGATCTTGACTCAATCAACTATTATTATCTTTTTCTAGAAGTGGTTTAGGAATTTGGAACAAAATTCCTCTTACGTTACGTGAACAGCGCAAAGACCCTTACAAGCGTAAATTACATAAATTACTGATCAAGGTTTTGCAGACTAAGAAGATGTATGTTGATATGAATACCATTACCAGTTCCTACCTGAACTCCTTATTCAGTTAGTGTTCTCCTTCCTTATATCCATAGTTTTATTTAGTATCGTACTTGTTATAATTTTACTGTTTACTGCTATTATTTCCAATTGTGCTACCTTTTATTTATTTATTTATTTCATTTTATTTTTCCTTTTTCTTGATTTACTTTCTTTTTTCCCGACTTTTGAACCTTGAACTTTGCACTTATTTATAGGAGACAATTATAGTATTGTTGCCCACTTAGAATAGCTCCGCTAATTGTGGGTAACATGGTCCTAAATTATTTGTAAATTGAATATTAAACTAATAAGTGTTTCTTTGGCAGGACCGCAACCGCAGAAGTCAATCACCCACTATGATGAAAATCGCACTAAACCACTATCTACCGCTCCTTTGAGCCTCGAACACCCGTCAGAACCGCAGCAACAAGAAAATAATGACAGTCCAAACAAAAAACAACCATCAACCGCTTCATCCAGCAACGCTTCACTTGATTCGTCATTCAACCGCACTCAAGCAAATGAAAAAACATTAGTAGCTCCTTCCATTGAACGAATGAAGAGACATGTCCGAGAAGTCACTGAACGACCTTACAAAGATCTTAAATCACCTTTTGATGATCCAGGCGAAGGGAGAGATCTAAAGCTTGACGAAATCTTCACCAACTTGATTGTTTATGAGGGGAGAGTTGAGTATGACTTTTCTGGAGACAGAGAGGAACAACTTAAAGAGTACCACAAAGCCAATGAAAATTTGCGACCAATACTACCGGGAGATATTTTTGATGCTAAAAAACGGAAGATTCTTGTCGTCGGTCGTCCTGGAATTGGAAAAACCATGTTTAGCACAAAAATTCTCCGCGACTGGGCGTCCGATAATTTGTTGAACGAAACACAAAAATCACAAATAGATTTCGCTTTTCTCATTAAGCTGAGGATGTTTAACTCTACCAACAAAGAACTCAATCTTCGGGAGCTTCTGAATCACTCAGAGTATTCAACAGCTCTTTCTGAAGATGCCTGGAACTACATCCGTAACAACCCAGACCGAGTAATGATTATTTTTGATGGATTTGATGAATATTCTAGCAAGACTGAAATCAATAAAGATGACGTCCAGCACAGAAACAATGAAGAAGACAGGATGCCTGTCCATTTCCTGCTACAGAAAATAGTATCCGGAAAAATTCTTACCCGTTCGACAGTCTTAATGACTACAAGACCAAATGCAGTGTCATGTGTCAGAAGTCGCGAGTTCGACAAAACTGTTGAAATTCTGGGATTTACAACTGAGCAAGTGGAAGATTATGTGCAAAAGTTCACAGAAGGCGATGGCCAAAAGGCAAACACTATAAAGCAGCACATCCTCAATAACTTAAACCTTCTTGCCTTTTGCTACGTTCCCGTGAATTGTTTCATCATTTGTTCCTGCCTGTTTCAACTTCTTTGTAAGTCCGTTAGCCCTGGCCTACTTCCCACAACGCTAACTGAAATATACTCCATCGCTGTCAAGTACTTTTACTTTCGTCACGGCCACTCTAAAGAAGTGAACAACGCTGAAAACAATTTTCTTGACAAATTTAAGAAACTGTCTTCCTCTGTGCAACTCGAGTTCACTGGCCTTGGAAGAATTGCTTTTGATGGAATTAACGAAGGAAAACTGATTTTTGAATCAGCTGAAGTCAACAACCTAGCGAGTAATAGCCTGTTTCACCGTTTACCTGACACTAGCGACCATCCTTTAGCAGAGAGAAGAGAACAATATTGTTTTATGCACCTGACGATACAGGAGTTCTTAGCGGCGAAGTATTTGGTGGACACGTACAGTTCCGAAGACCTGCAGAAGTTTGTTTCCGATCACATCCAAGATGGCGCGTGGAAGGTTGTGATGCAGTTTGTGGCTGGACTGCTGGCTGAAAAAGAAGGACAATCAACAGATATTTTCAGCGACCTTCTTCCCTCAGAAACTTTTACTGAAGAAGTTAAAATCAAGATGAATGAAGATTCAGAGGAACCAACTGAAACACCCGTGACCTTTTGGCCAGCTGAGGAAGACAGGTTATTAGTGGTGACGCTATTCAATTGCATGTATGAGAACAAAGCCTCTGATCGAGAAGTTCAAAAGAAACTGGCGAAAATTGGTTGTAATGCGCTTCATTTTTGGAATTGTAACCTGTCACCTCTCGACTGTTTAGCATTAGTGCATGCACTTAAATCTGTTGAAGGAATTTTGGATTTTGATTTAAACTACAACAACCTTCAGTTGCTAGGATGTATAGAGATTGCGAAGTTGTTACCTGGCAACCAACACAATCAGGGTTTTTGTGAACTAAAAACATTAAACCTCGGGCTTAACAACATAACTGATGAAGGAGTAAAACATTTATCCACAGCACTCACAAACACTAACTGCACACTAAACAGCTTAAACCTCATACGTAACAACATAACTGATGAAGGAGTAAAACATTTATCCACAGCACTCACACACACTAACTGCACACTAAACAGCTTAAACCTCATGGGTAACAACATAACTGATGAAGGAGTAAAACATTTATCCACAGCACTCACAAACACTAACTGCACACTAAACAGCTTAAACCTCTGGAATAACAACATAACTGATAAAGGTAAAAATCTCGTAAACTCAATGAACATATACTGTACAGTATATATCTAATCCTTGTATGCAATGTAAATGTTTCTCTGTTGAAGGAATTTTGTATTTTGATTTAAGCTTCAACAACCTTCAGTCGCTAGGATGTATTGAGATTGCGAAGTTGTTACCTGGCAACCAACACAATCAGGGTTTTTGCGAACTAAAAAGATTAAACCTCGCTTTTAATCAGATAACTGATTAACACCACACTAACTTCAAACTAAATAACTTAAAGCTTAATTAATATTGCTTTTTCTAAACTTAAAGCTCAATAAGATAACTGATGGATGTATAAAACGCTTCACTGCCAGCACTGCACTCACACATACTAACTGCAAAAGAAACAAAGCTTAGACCTTAGAGCTAACAAAATAACCCAACAGGGGAAAAATCTCTCAAAAGCAAGGAAAATAAACTATAAAGTATTTATCTAAGCATGTGTAAATATATTTTTCTGAACAGCAATAATTGGAGCTTCATTCTTTGACATTATATTTTCCATTTTTTAAAAAGAAGTTAAGTTTTTTGAGTTCGGCGATCAGGTAACTTCTAAGCAATCTCGAAGTTCTTAGGTTTTCATTTATATATTGTTTTGTTTTGTTTTTTTTTTGTTGTTTCATAATAATAGTGTGGGTTTTTGTGAGAAGAGAAAATTTGTTTGGTCATTGCTATATCTTTACATAGCGCAGCAACAGGGTGTGATTTGAACAAACCAAAAGAACTAAAAGCTAAAAAGGTTTAGAATAGATTACAGTTTACTAACTCCTAAAAAATCTCCACTTAGCGTGAAGCCTGGCGTTAATAACAATGTGTATTAATGACCCATAATGAAGACTGAAACAAATTAATGGACATTTACATTTAACTTAGATAACTAAACATACAGCTACATATGAAGAAATTCTCCTATAGGAATGTAATTAGTATAATGATTGTGATAATGCTCCACTGATTCACAGTTAGTGTCACCTTAGAATTATTATTTGCAGTTATTGCTATCTGAAAGTGACTGATACATCATGTTTAGCTTTCCTGCAAGTATTCATCCTTGTATATAAGTTTAGTTTTTGATATGATTAAAGTGCTGTTTGACCAATGTTATAAGTGTCGGCCTGGTCTCCCTCCTTAGTAAATCAAACTTTTCTTCGGTTTTGGTCATGGGAAGGACCTCCCTATTTGTTGAGGTTAAAAACCTTTTTTTCTGACCAAGTCAACAAGATATCCTGCCCTCAATAGATTGAAAGCAATGGCCTTACCGGCAGTTAGAAGGCTGATTTCACCAACTCACCTTCAGAAACTGTAAACTTCAGCCACCGCTTTTTTTGACTTAATGGGTGCCAGCTAACACACCTACTAACATAAGAAGTAACAATTAAGCGGAAATCCAAGATCCCCAGTGAAGCGAAACTAGCACCAGGGTACTGTTAAAAAAAACGCACGATCTTGTCCTGGGGCAAGGGGGGGAGGGGGGAGGCACACTTGAAAGAAGTTTGGGTGCGGGTGTACCGCTGAGTCCTTCAAACCCTGAACATGTTGAAGACAAAATGATCCTTTCTTTTCGCTTCCCTGTTTTCGTGACCCAGTCTCCTTCTCGTCAGTTCTCTTTGTCGTCACGCAACGCTCTTCCTGTTTTGGGGGAGGACGTAAACACGATAGAAGCTTCTTAAGAAGTAGCCTCACTGGTAGACGTTCTTAGGATTTCCTTAAGTCAGCGTGGGAGGCCGCTACCGTTAGGAGCTAAAGATCGTCCTTGAATCCTTAAGGAACTTACCTCTGGGATAACAATATCTTCCCTAGAGAGAAGGATTTACAGTTAAGATGGCGTTGATCTTCTTTGACACACAGAGAGGGTTTGTCCTTGATCGAAGCAAATCTCAAAACTAGTAGCCTGAGAAATAAAAAAGCCGACATTTCCCGACGCCACAACTGTTTCCCCTTCCTGTCCGACATGACACGTCCAAAGAACAAGCCCAGAAATTCCATACTGATGATGTGTCACCCAGATCTGAGTAGTGCTTTTGTTTGGTTGAAAATTTGCTACATCCAAGTTTATCTTTTTACGACATTTTGACATTTTGTGTGGCTCGCCTTTGTACACGCTCGATCGAGTATTGGTTTTGGGGACCACACTTGAGTCGGGTGCCTCACCTGGGACTTCACCAGAAACAGGTAGAGCGTCTGCTCACATTGATGTCCGTTGAGAGAGGGCAGGGTCACTTCAGAGGTCCAAGGAGCTTGTTGGCCTTGGCGACGATAGTATCATGTGCGTGTCCCAAGAGAGGGAGAGAGATGGTAACTCTGAGATCTTTGATCATTATACAGTCTGGGAAACTGCCCACCTACTCCTCCCCTAAGCCAACATTCACACTTACTTCTCACTTAGGGCAAAATGTTGGCTTAGGGGAGGGGTAGGTGGGAGGTGCGCGTCCACAAGGTTATAACTGTATATCACGTGGTTCGTCCTCCGCGTAACACTTGGTGCTTTTCATTTCAAAGCATTAAAGCTGAATAAAGACTTTTGAATGTAGAGGTCCACTCAACGAACTGTTGCTTAATTTTAGGAGCCGTTAATTATAGTATTTTCTTTCGAGAAAGGCGAGTTTGGTTACCCGAAATATTGTGCCCAAATATATCGGCCCTTTGCCGTGCATTGTCAGCCTTGCATTCAGTTTTTTTCTATTAAAGCTAATCTTGTCTTTACTCCATTCGCCCCAGTTCGAGAGAGTTATAAAGAAATAAAATGCAAATACCGTCGACGAAGATCCTGCTGGTTGTCAACGTTGGAACAAGAAAAGAGGTCTAGTCGGCTTAAAATTTCAGTTGTCTTTAGACTTCTCGTTGCAGTTTAGTCATAACCTTGCCTTCGGAGGCATTCGGGAGATCATTAATGATTCTTCTAAACAGTAGTGGACCAAGGAGACTTCCCTGCGAAACGCCAGAGGTAACAGGGGCCCATTGCGAGGCTGCCCTATCAGCCCCAACACGTTGGACCCACCAACTCAGGTAGTTTTTGAACCAGAACTGGATCAAGGATAAAGCGGTTCACATCAACCCAAGAGCCATCTCGGCCACATTCCTTTCATAAGAGCTAAAAATGGCTCACAGGCAGGAATCTTTTCATGCTTTCATCTTTTGTCGATTGTCTTAACCTATAAACCGAACTCGCTTTTTCTTTTCTGTCAGCTTTTCCTGGCCTAATCTTCATCGGGGAACAGTAAAAAAAAATGAAAGAGATAAAAGGTTCTTTGGCCTGACACGTACCCGCGCAAAAATAACAATAGTCAATTAATATTTACAACTTTCAGATTCCCCCGTTTTAGTTGATATCGCAAATATCATACGGTGGCAGAATTTGTTTAATTTCCGGGAAGGAAATAGAAATTACTAGTAGTCAATGTATGATTAAAGCTCGTCCGAGCTAGGATGGAATGCTTAATCTCGATTAATCTCTTTCCTTTGGAAACTTGACGAAAGGATTCACCCCTACGGCGATTTTCAAATTTGCCACAAACTAAAAATAAGACGTTGGTTTCGTTAATATCATGTTTTGGATGAGGTCGTAACGAAGATCGTAACGTGCGTGGCTGTAAGGGTGGATTTCCACTCATAATGATCGCGTAATTTTTACGTGCTTACGGGCGTAAAATTTACCTGCGTAAAACAGAAAGGCTACGACCAGTTTATACGCATTTCTAATATTGCCGAACATTCGAGATACGAAAACTTTGCCCTGACACGAATGTTCTACAAACATTGTTTTTGTGATTCAAATATACCAAGCAGCCATGGTTGACAAAATCGGAATCATTTTCCTCGTTTCATCATTTCCAATAGGATGCAAAGGCTAAATATACAAGCATTAGTTCTTCAGCAAGAAAACTTGAGACATACAAACAACATGCAAGATCTAAAAGCTTTTGTCAATTGTGCAACAGAAACTGAACTGAGCTCGCTTTTGTCCGTTTCGCTCAGTCTGTCGTGGCTCACTCTCCATCACGGAACAGTAAACAAAACAATTAAAGGGATCATGAGGCAGTTAACTTTGTCCTGTGACACGTACGCAAAAATAGCAACAGTTAATGTTCACAACAACTTATAGATCAAATATTTCACTTTCACAATCAATCATAGACAAGATAGGCTGACCAAATTTCTTTACTCGCTTTCCCCCGTTTGTGACAGTATCGCAAAAGAGACTAGACTTACGACATGGAAGGTCTTAAAGATTTGCTTGCTCTTAAAACACTCCACTGGTTCAGTTATCTGGCAAATGTATGTTGGATTTTGCTCGGAATTATCTTATCAGCAGTCTTCCTAGACACTGAAAACAGCGAACCGAGATTTGACTTTCACTGTAGCTCAGATAGCGACGATGATAAACTCATTGGTGGGTCGAAAACGATACTGAGCCGAAACTCCTGGGTGGAAAGTCAGTTACAAACAATATGAAAAACAATACAACCGAAATTCGGTATCCCAATGTATGGATTCGTGATTATCAACAACAACAACAATAGTTTATTTCTACTACTGTAGACAACTAAAAGAATTTACAAGAATATAATTATAAATAAATAAATAAACAGTACATACAGTAGTGGGACATCCGAAATAACTAAAAAGCTAAACCAAGTGTTTGTGGAATGTACTCAGAATTTGTGAAGTCGAGAGTTGAGGAACTTGAAGATTCATTAGCTTTCACATAAGCACCCGTCTCACATGCGCATAGTAACAGCAAAACAAAAGGCAGCTTAGTTCTCAGAGCTCATAAAATAACTCAGGAAGGTAAAAATCTCTTAAAAGCAAGGAAAATAAACTATAAAGTATCTGTCTAAGCACGAATAAATTTTCCCCTGAACAGCGCTGATTTGAACTGCATTTTCGCTGTGACCTTTTCGGTTCCTTACAAAAGGTTAAAGGTTTTTGCTTCTTTTTCGGCAAAGTTTCACGGCGATCAGGAAACTTCTAAGCAATCACTCACCTAGTTTTCTTTTTGTGTGGCTTTTTGTTTGAAGAGAAAATTGTTTTTGGCCACTGCCATGGCTTTACAATGGAAAAAATAAGGGTGTGATTTAAGCAACCTACAAGCTAAAAAGGCCTTTATCCGAACAAAACCCATAATGGAGTCTGACACAAATGGTAGCTAGAAATTTTGAGTAAAATCTGTTATCAATGCTGCGTTCTGATTGGTGGAGTTATTACTAGAATATATGTTATAGCCCACTAGTGGCGGAAAGCGCCGGCTTTGAAAACCAAAACAATGGTGGCTGAATCGCGTTTTAGTAGCTAAAGTTGTTATATCTCGATATTTTTGAACAGCTAGTTGGATTTTACTAAAACAATTATTCCTCTCGCCCTCATGGCTTCTGAGTCCATAGCCCATGAGGCCGAAGGCCTCATGGGCTATGGACTCAGAGCCTGTTCGGGCCCGAGGAATAATTGTGAAATATTCAACTTGGATATCTCTACATACTGCTACATATGAAATATACATTAAGAAATTTTCCCATGAGGAGTATTAGTATAGGTAATAGCATGATTTGTAATGATATTTGGCATAAATACCACGAGTGATATTTCGAAATTGTTATACGAAATTTCACGAGCCGTTAGGCGAGTGAAATTTGCGACAATTTTGAAATATCACGAGTAGTATTTATGCCAAATATCACGTGCACATCATGCTATTATTTGTTTATACTACTACCCACACATGATTTGTAATTTTCACATGTAGGTATTTCAAATTAAGCTGAAATACCACTGCGCTAAGCCAATCAAATTGCAGAAATTTCTCATGTAGTAGTATAATTAGTAGAATATGATCTTGCTTTCAATGATTTACACGTAAGTAAGCTCATCGTCGAATTTCATCATACAGTTATTGCTGTCTATAAATGGGAGTTAGAGTTTTAGTTTTCCTATTCATCATTATGTGTTATTAAAGTTCTGTTAGATCAATATTATTAATGTAGATGTCGGCTTCGCCTACTTCCTTTAAGTAAATCAATCCGTCTACTCTTCAGCAGATCGCAGGGCAAACTGCTTTTGGGACAGAAAAAGCAGAGATGGGTCTAGGAAAGGGATTGCGCGGGGGGGGGGGGTATGCATTCCCTTTTACCGCACGGATACTTTATCTTCGGCTCAGATGTAAAACTTTGTACGTAAATCGTAATGGATCCAGACCTTGAGGGGGTTTAGGGAGGGGTGGGAGGGGTGGTTGTTTTCTGCTGGAAATGAAGTGTCTTAGAGTCTAGGGTTTGGTCAATAGTAAGGAAAGGGTCACCCCCACCCCATCTCCCCCTGCCTTTACCCCATAAATACCCTAAACCTCCCCGTCACCTCAGCGGGATCCTCCATTTTACGGCAAATGCTGGGGTTAAAAACCTTTTCTCTGACCAAGCAACAAGATCTCCTGCCTTAAATAGTTGAAAGCAGCTGTCGTGCCTAGAGTCAGTAAGGATGATTTGACCATGCAGCTCACCATCAGAGACTGTAACTGACGGACACTGCTTTTGTTATTGACTTAATGGGGGCTCGCTAACATAGGAAGTAACACTAAATTTACATAGCGGAAATTCAAGATCCCCCCCGGCACCAGGGCACTGTTCAACGAAAACGCATGTTTTTGTCCTGGAGCGGGCGGGGGGGGGGAACTTGGGTGAATTTGGACGTGGGTTTGTGACGACGCAAAGAACTTCTATGTAAGGGAATATTCGTGACCTTGTTTCTTTCCCTTTCTCATACAGAATTGAGTAATCTTTTTTAAAACTGAAATCATAGAAGTGTTTGATTCCCATTATTCTCAATAGTAACAACAACAACAACAACATAAGCTTTATTTGCATGACTATATGAAGTTACAGCATTGCAAAAGCTTAAAGGTAAAGTTACAATTAATACTAATAATTAATAGGGAAAATAAGCCAATTAAGAAAAGCGATGATTACAATGCAATGAGTACAATGGTCAATCAAGTATCATCAGTATGATTTGATAACAAATTGTTACGTAAATCATTACATAATGAGATAAACTTAACAAATGTGAATTTAGAGAAAAATTCTGTGAATTCATCAGTTTAATTATTAATTCTGGGCAAGATAGCTGATTAAAATTGACAAAATTATGTTGGATTTGATTGTAGAATTTTTCCCTTGGGATTGAATGCTTTGGACAGTTCGAGAGAAAATGAAATTCGTCTTCATTGTCACTGATTTATTTTAACACAGTCATTTGTTAAGCCAGTCCCCTGAGGAGAGAGAAAAGAGATCGCCTGGAAACGAGCTTGATGGGAGTGCCAACTGCAGATAATTAAGATGCATCATTAGCTTTTTTTGATTACTTATATCCGCTTAACCTTTTTTCTGTTACCTTCATATAGCTTCGTCTTGCTTTCTTTTTTTTATTTCATTGAATTTAAATTGACTGATATGGTCTTTTATTATATAGACACGAGTGTTTTACTGGAAAATATACCACTCGTAAAATTCATAAAAACTACATCCAGGACCCAAGTGGTTTATTTTCCATAATCTCACACGTGAGTTTATCGATAACGTAATTTCGGTAATTTCCCTCTATTATGAAACAAACAATATATCTTACTCACTCGCTGCGCTCGTTCGTAAAAATATTGTTTTGCCACGAGAAAATAAAATTCATATCTTCGCGCCACCGTGTAATATCCTCTATATATTATTCCTCGTTTGGAAATTAGTAGTCTGTGTGTTAGTTCTGTTTTCGGGTTTTCAGTTATTCAGTTTTTTTTTCCTGCTAAAGGTTTGTGTTTCTGGTTTGGTTTTGTTTTGTGTTTGTGTGTTTCTGTTTTGGGTTTTGGGTGTGTGACGACACAATGTATGAGAATATTCGTGACCTTGTTTCTTTCCCTTTCTCATATAGAATTGAGTAATCTTTTTAACAACTGACATCATAGAAGTGTTTGATTCCCATTATTGTCACTGATTTATTTTAACACTCTCATTTGTTAAGCCAGTCCCCTGAAGCGAGAGAGAAGAGATAGCTTGGAAACGAGCTTGATGTGACTACTGCAGATAATTAAGATGCATCATTAGAAACTAGTGTTTTACTTTTTTTTCCTTTTACCTTTCTCTTGATAAGTTGTATATATCTCTTAACCTTTTTCCTGTTACCTTCATATAGTTTCCTCTCGCTTTCTTCTTTTTATTTCACTGACTTTAAATTGACTTCTATGGTCTTATATTATTCCTCGTTTGGAAATTAGTAGTCTGTGTGTTAGTTCTGTTTTCGGGTTTTGTTATTTAGTTTTGTTTTTTCCTGGTTAAGTTTTGTGTTTCTGGTTTGGTTTTCTTTTGCGTTTGTGTGTTTCTGTTTTGGGATTCCACGTGTTTCTGTTTTCTAATTGCGTGTTTCTGTTTTGGGTTTGTTGTTTTCGTTTTTCAGTTTTGTGGTTTTCTGGTTTCTATAAGCCACAGTATATATTTGACCGTCGTCTGCATTAAAACTGATATATTCAGTGCAGTCTCTGGAGACAAGCAAACTCATTTGAGCATTTCCTCACAGATTTCAAATTGTTCAGGTAAGATGCCCAATTTCTTTTGAATTTTACTAAGCAACTATTTCTACAAGGTTCAATTTTTTGATGTTCCACAGTAGTTTTCTTTCTTCTCTCTTCCACTGATAGAATCAAAGTATGTTTGTTCAATGTTTTGTTAGAGCGTGTTTCAGGGTGTTTAATGGAGAAAAATGAAACTAAATCCCGGGATGGGAGTGGCTGTATACAGGCTAATTTACGTTGGAGTCGAGAGAGACTAAAAGAGCAATTAACTCGAAAAGATTCATCATTTTTTTCCCTTTGCGTACATAAATTATCACATTTTCCTTCCAAAAAATTCGCCAATTTGTGCATGCATCATTTCAGGCACGTAATTTTTATAGCGCTGGAGTCATCTAAAAGTAATGAAAACTAATGTGATGGACTAATGACTTTTTGTTTGTCGCTTTTATTTCTGCTTATTGACGGTTGGTGTAATTCGCCTGTTTGGACCCTTTCTTTTAATTATGGAATTTCATATTAACCGCCATGGATTCATTTTTTGTGGATTAGACCTCGCTGTTCTTAATGTGAGTATTTCTTTAGACTGAAACAATTTCTTTATTAACTAGATCTTCAAGATACTTGAAGCTTTGGAATCGTGCCTTTGTCAACAAATGACACTCATTGCCGAGGTAAGGGAGAAAAAGTTGTTACCGATTTAGATTTCTGTTAATTTGCCCGCCCCTGACCACCCCCTCCCCGCCCCTCCCCTCCCCTCCCCATAATCCACTCAACCAAAAAAAACTGGGTACGAGTTCTTTATACTTTGTACCAGTCTCCCCTTTTCCCATTGTTTCACGCAACGCCTGCCTGCCTGTTATCGTTCTCTATCGCTTCGACTGCAATGAGAACCAAAAAATTCCTTTGTAGTAGCATTGCAACATCCAGAAAACAGTGTAACGCCTTTGCATGATGTTTCTGATGGTATTGGTGTCCATTGTGATATCGAAACACCTTCAAAGTGTACCGGAATTTTTCACTTCATTGGTGAAAGAATCATGCGTACGTTCTAATCGGCAGCACTCCGTTTTACTTTTTCCTGCTTCAAAAAAGAACATAATGACACCCTCTGTTGCTCATTTTACTACCTGCAATTTTAATGAGCGAAAAGGGAGAAAAGATGCTCCGCACAAAAATAGTAAGTACAGTTTTGAAAGAGAATTTAGATCAGAATGTACTTTGGCCGTTTGTTATTTGGCATATCCCTGTACAGGCATTTTGGACTGTAATGTTGCTGTTTGTTTTCATATTGTAATATTTATTTGTCTTTTTTATATATCTTAATTTTAAGTGTCCCCATTTAGCTGTACTGAGCTAAACAAGATTTTAACACTGAAATTATTACCCTTGGTTTTCCTAGAGTGCAGCATCATGGGAACATAATCACACCCTCTGTTGCTCATTTTACTACCTGCAATTTTAATGAGCGAAAAGGGAGAAAAGATGCTCCGCACAAAAATAGTAAGTACAATTTTGAAAGAGAATTTAGATCAGAATGTACTTCGGCCATTTGTTATTTGGTATATCCCCAGTATTAATTAAAGCAAAGTCTTGTAGCTATGTACATGCATTGTGGACAGCAATGTTGCTGTTTGTTTTGATATAGTACTATTTATTTGTCTTTTCTATATATCTTAATTTTAAGTGTCCCCATTTAGCTGTACTGAGCTAAACAAGATTTTCACACTGAAATTATTACCCTTGGTTTTCCTAGAGTGCGGCATAATGGGATTTCCGCAATATGAAAAATAATAGAATGAAGATAATGTGAACTCAAAATACAAAATAACGTTGCACAATAGCTGAGGCCACACTTAGCAAGATAACCAGGTTACTTTTTTAATAAGCTGGACAAAAACTCTTCTAAACGTTACCTGGTTGCCAGACTCAAGTTTGTTGAAAAAGAAAAGCTAAACCTAGGTGCAAGTCAAAAAAAGTAATTTTCAAAACTTAGTGCGTGTGTGCATTGTAAGACCTAAATTCCAAAAATTCTCTGGCACAGGTGGAGATGATTAATTGATGGTGTTAACCTTTGTTTAACTCCTGTCTGAGGTGGTTTTAAAAAACCTATCCTAGTTATTAAATCTATTGTTCTCAAGTGATTTGAACATTGTTAACTAGGTTAAAACTCTGTTAAGACCATAGAATCCTCAGCCACACTTGCAAAACTCCCAAAACCCTTCTGACCTTAGAGTTGCTATTTTTGATGATACACATCTATCAATGCTTTCTTTGCTATTAAACTGAATTGCAATATACTTAAATTGGCCAATTTCATTTTTTTGAAATGGAATCCCCGTTTTCTTATTGTAGACTAAAATCTTCAACCAATTGATCAGTTTTCTGGAAAGTGAGCCAAACTCTCCGATTTCATTCTATACCCTATCTTAGACTTAACTGTTTGAAAACCATACCCTTCACAGCAACACAAACCTACATAGCCCGTTAACCACTTAACACAAGTTTCACTTTATTCTATCATTCACCATTATTATTCTTAGCAATTTTGAAAGGTGCTCGTGTTGCATAATGGTCCATGTCGCAATGTTGTTGGAAATGACTCATTGCTTAAAAATTGCCAAATTTTCTTACACAGGCTTGTTTTGCAGTGGCAAATCCTTATATGAGAGAAAATAAACTGAAAAGATATCCGCATTTTTGATAAAAAAGCCAGCAATTTTTAAAAATGCTAATGCCACTGTGAGTGCTGAATGCACTGAAAAAGCGAGGATATCATGTGCTTGTTGATATTAAGATAAAACAGAGTTTAAAAACCAAAGACAACCCCCCCTTTTTTTCAAGAAGCTGTCCACTGCACACCATGAAAACAGCACTTAACTGTGCATTATTTTAGAAAGAACAGCTTTTCTCTGTAGTTTCTTGCAGTAGTGAAGTTCAAACAAAAGAGAGAAAACTTAGATTCGGAACTTAGATGTGATGTGTGGTCAATGAGTTGCAGCAATGCTTGAAAATTATAGATTTTCCGAAGCCAGTCAGCAAAATTAACGAAAATGTCATTTTTTTCCTTTAGGTATTTTTTAGGTATTTTTATTTATTTGCCACACAATTACAATAATTACTTAAAGATGCCAAAAGAAAAAATATATATATAGGAAGAGATGGCGAGGAGGCCTAAAAGAAACTATAGAGCTTATGTTAATTAGGCCTCCTCAATTACAATTTTTCGAAGATGGCATAAAAATTACGGCGACGGGTACAATATAATATCAGGTGAAAAATTAAACTAATCAATATTACGGAAGTTTACATGTACAAATGTTGAATATTAAAAGGCTTTTTCCCAAGATTTTTGTTGAAGTATACTAATAATTATTACAAATAAATGCCTTAAGTGCTCTTTTAAAGGAGAAAGGTGAGGAAGCGTTGATGATGTTGGTGTTTAAGGTGTTTTATAACATAGCGCGCGTGCTTGCCCTATATAACTCCTATTGAGCCGCTATGAACAAAATCTTTATTTACGCACGCCTGTGCGTAAATAAGATGACGTGAGCATTTTTTTTTTTTACCTGGGTGCAAAGTTGTCGTCTTTTAAGCTGTAGTACCCTTTTCCTTCTCTTTAGAATATGGAAGAAACCAGCCAAGAACTGCCCAATTTTTCTATCGGCATTGACCTTTTAGGTCCTGATCCAACAAGCAGCAAAAATAAAGCCGAATTAAAATAAAAAATCTCGCAAGTTTGCTTGGCGTTCGCAAATTTGTCGAAGACCAGCTGCAGCAAATTTTGGCCGAAAGACATTCACTGGGAACAGAACAGACACCAACTGGTCATCAACAACATTTAAAGGCAAAATTTCCGTTTTTATTGCTGTTTTTGAATTTGTTATGCACTTTTGTTATCTCCGGACAATCCGACTGAAGCAGGAAAATTTCTATCGCAATAACAACACAAATTACACAAGAAGACATAAATTTATTACTCACGAAAACAACTGCTGCCAGGTCTCCTCAAGAAGCCGTAATGACCAGCCAATGTTCGTCAATGAATATAAGTTTAAAGAAGGATGACAGTCGTCTTCACTAAAAACATGTTTTCTGGATTTCGCCGAGCAAAACGTAAACATCTTTTCAGCAAATCCAAATCATACTCCACGACTTCTTATGAACATGTTAGTTTTAACTTTAGGTGAACTTTAAGACTCTTTTACCTTTGTTTCTGCTTAGTTTCCATTGATCGTTAACGAATAAAGAAGCAAATTTTCTTTCTCACTTTTACAGAAAGGATATTTTCATTCAAACTAGACGATTGTGGCGTGTTCATAATCAGCCAATAGAACCGTTTGTTATTGTGTCACACGTTAAGAGAATTTTGCAGTTAATCAAAAAGCATGCATTTTTGTGAGCTATGTTATAAAAGAATTTGTTCATGCTTAGCGTGCGTATATCGAGTTATGGATGCACGCGGGAAGTTTGGAGAGCACGAAAGATGCGTAAGAGTTGCACGAGGCGATAGGCGATAAATGCCTTAAGTGCTCTTTTAAAGGAGAAAGGTGAGGAAGCGTTGATGATGATGATGTTGGTGTTTAAGGTGTTGTAAAATTTAGGTCCTTGATAAAAAACGGAAAATTGCTTGGTTCGAGTACGACAGAAAGGCAGACGAAATTTACACGAGTTTCTTGTATTATACGAATGAATTTGACTTTGTAAGGTAAATTTACAATGAAATTTTAAAGGTAGAGTATGGTTTTGATAGGAGTACATGAATAAGCCTAGTTGTATTAAGTATATATCATGAAATTTTAAGATACCAAGATTTTGAAAGATTGGATCAGTATGTGCATCGAAAGTGGTTTTAGCTATAGTTCTGATCACTCGTTTCTGTAAAATCTCAAGACGAATAAGGTTAGTTCTGTAAGTAGAGGCCCAAACTAAGTTGCAGTAAAAAAGGTATGGATAGACTAGAGAAAAATATAGTGTTCGTAAGGTTTTCGTGGATAAATAGAAACTGGATTTATGAATAATTCCTGTGCATTTAGAAACTTTATTGGCGACATGTGAGATTTCAGATTTCCAATTTAAATTTTCATCCATGATTACTCCCAGGAAAACTGTTTAACTCTGCAATTGCCAATTTCTAATGTGATCCAGGCTACAAAAATTGAGATCTGCCAAAGACACCTTCACCTGGTCAAATAAAAGGAGCAAAGTGATTGACCCAAGTAGTTAACTGCAAAGGAGACTAGCTCCTCCAGGGCTTGAAATAATTTTCCAGCTGGTGCTGCTCAAGTTGTTCATTCAAACTTATTTTTGCTTAGATGCAACTCGTTTTTGGGCAGACAAATATCTGTAACATATCTCTATAAAAGACCCCCTTTCCCTTGCATGATGTGTATCAGTTAAAACAAGTTTAAGCCCTCATTGTATATAAAGTACTGCATTAAATGCAGAAAGCATGGAACGCTCAGTGAAACACAAATTGAATGTGAATTCAAGTGAAGAATTCAGAGTGTGTATAAAGCTGTACTAGACATGTCACTTGGTTTTAGCAGGAGACTGCAGGAGCCATGTATCGATTTGATAGATTCCCAGTGACTTAAAACTCTTTTAGTGAATTATGATTCACACAGAGAATTAATTTAAAGTTAAGCAGGGCTTTAAGCGAAACTCTACAGTATGTGAAAATTGGCAAGGCATTATAAAAAAACAAAGAAAAAAAGGGCAGTGTTAATTGTTGAAGCAAATGTGCTTACAACTCTAACTTGTGCACAGAACATTAAGGCTATTATTTTAATCAGCAGTTTTTTATTGTCCAGCTAAATCGTCAAATACGTCCCAAGGCTTGAAAAAAACTTGAATTGCCGCTTGTCCTTTGGCTTGCCCGGGGCCACTTCTGGCTTTTCTTAGTTAATGATTTAGTTAGAAGATGACTTTCTCAGACCCTTGCCCATTGGGCAAGTGAATTTAAAAGTTACTTGCCCCAGAAGAAAATATGCTTGTCAGAGATGTCCAGATGGGACTTTTTTTGAGCCCTACGCAGGGCTGTCAACCCGCACGTCCTCAAATATTGAAAATTGATAAGGAAGTGGATGAAAGATAATGTCATGATGCTCTGTTAATGACGTCATTATTTTGTGAAAAAAATACCCGATCGTCACAAATTCATGATGACACAAAGCGCACGAAAAAGATGTTGTTGGCATTGTAACATTTGACTTGATTGGTTTACAGCAATCACATTATTTTATTTATGTTTTATTATTATTATTTTTTTAAGAAAACTTATTATTTTCATTTATTTTTAGTTTTTATTTTTACCAGCAAACAGCAGATTACATGCAAGACCCTAATACCCTAAACGGTTACAACTTGGCTAAGAGTAACTACCAGTTTACAAGTTAACACTAACAATCACTAACTCACAAGTTGACACTAGCAATAACTAAACTTACAAGATTACACTAACTGAATAACTGGCTAACTAGCTTACAATTTAACACTAAGCATTACTATGATACTATGCAATACAGATAAATTATCAAGACAGTTAAGCTTGTTTAAGTAGGCGGTGAAGGAAGGTTATAATTTGAACGATTTTATGCGGGGGACCGACTTAGATAGCGAATCGAACAACATCAACAAACTAAGATTTTTCAAAATAAAGTCTGCAATAACTCCCAGTTTTTACTGGGGCCATCACCAGGTTTTAGCTCCAGTAAAAAAGTTGATTTAAGGTAATGTAGAAAGTCTTGTATGGAGGGAGGGGCTTTCTTATTTTTACATATCCAAATATAATGTCTGGCTAATGATAGACAGAAGTTTATTTGATTATGGCTTTTAGAGGCGTCTGGTGTCAAAGCAAAGCCTGTAGAAATATTTATTTTGTAATTTTGTGGGATAATTTGTGATAAAGTAAGTTGTTGGATTAAGGAATTCCAAAAGGTGGTTACTTTGGAACAAGACCAAAGGAGATGCGCCAGTTTTTCTAGTTCTTTGTTACAAAAGGAGCAGTCTGGATTGTCTTTTATTCCAATTTTTGTTAAAAAGTCATTGGTCGATATTTGTCTGTGCAGAAATTTGAATTGAAATTCTACCAGTCTTGTCCTTTTAGTACATTTTAGAGCTGATTGATAGGGCCTTATACCATTTAATGCACTTGTCACCTTCCATATTGCATTCCTCTGTCCAATTCTACTGTGTCTGTGTAGGGATCAGTATACTTTTTCTTGCTATAAGTTTAGCGTACACAATTTGACTTGCTTTTTGTGCTTTTGCCACCATTCACATTATATGCTAAAATTACAAATAGCATACCAGAGTTTATGAGGAAATGTTCAATATTAACAGCAAAATAGCTCAAACAAAGCAAAATAGTTGAAATTTTCTGGTTTACTTGGAGTCTACTGAAATGGCAAACTTTGGCGATTGTCCAGCAGATTTCATCCTCAAATCTGGAGACCGGGAGATACGGTCCAAAAACTGGAGTCTCCCGGATTATCTAGGAGAGTTGACAGCACTGCCTGCATCCCCTTTAACTTTTTTTTTCTTTCCTAATCATGCATCTACCATATATTTATAATGCATTGTCAACTCTGATTTGAAACTTTAACTTGTCTTTGAGTTTTAATTTGTTTATGAATGAAATTTGTTTATTCTTACCCTTCCATTAATTATTTTGTTTCTTCCAGATCTTGATCCCTGTTTGCAATGGATAATCTGTTCAAAGTTGCACTCAGGTCTCAGACCATATTCAGTGGCTTTCTTTTTGTGGTTTCTGTGATATCCTGGCCTGTTGTAATAGATCTACTGAGGGACTATCATGGCAAAGACAGGTTCAATTTCAACTGTGTTCCTAAGCCTAATGACTTCACAAGACAGCGCTGTTATGACAACTACACTTCTGCCACGAGCCCACTGCTAACACCATTGGACTTTGCTGGTATAACCTATGGTGTGTCAGCATCTGTCTGGTTGTTTTTTACCCTTATGGGGGCTGCAATACTGCAAAGGTTCCATCAGGAGACAGACAGAAAGAAGAAGGAAAAAGTGGAGAAACATTTTTATCGTGTGTTCATTTGTCACATTTGCATTCAATGTGCCATTCTTGCTGTCATGATGGGTCTGTTCTGTCAATACCAGACACTCACTTTTCCTGCTGAGTATATGTGCTCTCTGACAAACACAACACTCTCTTCGTTCACCCAAGTGGCCGTTAACATTACATGCAATGACTTGCGATACAAAGAGAAATCAAAAGTGAACATTGCTATCATTGTGGTCATGGCAGTTTCCCTTCTACTTTGTCTGTTGACCATCATTCATGTAAGAAAAATCAAAGAAAATCTGTTACATCTGCTGCTAGGAAATGTTGATGAAGACCATGGCAGTAAGAGCGAGGAAATACATTTAGAAGGTAACTGAAGCAAATTTTAAAATCCAAAACTACTTAAATAGTAGCACAGTTCCTAGCTCACAAACCAGTCAATTTTGCTTCGTTAACTGAGAATTTCATTGTATCATTTTCAAAAATTATTGAAACTTTGATCTTGAATGTAAACAGGGCAACCACAAAACAGTGTTCCAGGCCCGAAAAGTTACTGGGGCTATTGCGAAACAGGCCCCTGGCCTCCAAAATCCATACCTGTTTTCAGACCAGGCTTTGATTAGAAGGCCAACAAAAAAATTTCTTAAAAGTTATTTATAATTTGCAGATTACTCTTTCTTTCTTATTCATTTGGAATTGAAACAACAAATATATTCATGCACTCCCATAGTTCCCTCAAAAACCAGACCCGATTCCAGACCAAGATGGGCAAAGTCTATACCTGTTTTCAGACCGAAATGGGGCGGCACATACCAATATGGCCTATATGAGAGAGTACAGCCACCCCAGGGAGGAACAGAAGTAGATCCTATGGCCTTCTGAAATCCATATACTCTACAAATAAGCCACAGGATAACTGATTCTTAAGGCCATGAAGCTAGGTTCATGTGGCAAACATATCCTACTCACTGCTTGGGTTAGAAGTTGTATAGGTAGCGTATTTGCAAATATGATGTAAATGTGTTGGTCAACTATATAAGTGCTGTTGAATTTTTAGTGTGGACAGTCTTGTTCACTCATATTCTTGTTGTAATTACAGATGGTGGTTCCGAAGACGAATCTTCTGATACAGATAAATTATTATTACAAACAACAGGTAAAAATCAGGTCAATTAATATAGATCACTGTCTTAATCTGGCCAGAGTCTGTTGCATGTTGTTATAGAAAGTTATGACTTATGACTTTTTCTGTTATTGCTTTACTTTTTTACTTACATCTTTAAAAGATAAAGCAGTTCTATAGCAGTTCCTAGCAAAAAGTAAATGAACACCCCATACCATCATTTCTCATCCTTTCTCATTAAATTACCCTAAACTGGTGCAAACTCTGCCTGAGATGGTGGTTTCCTCTAGCCTGTTCCTGGCATTCAGCAGCGTGCAAAGAAAGTAGTGTCCGATAGCCCGGGGCTAGTGGATTTTGCTATCGGGCTAGTGAATTCTGTTTTTAACTTGCCCGACGGGCAAGTGATCTTTTTTGAGGAATTCGAATAACAGAAGAACTGTGAGATCAATTCTGCTCTTCAAAAAGCTTTTGGGGCTAGTTGAAATGACCTCTGGGCTAGTAAATGTTAGCTTCAGCTTGCCCGAATGGCAAGCTGTAAAAATGATTTTCTTTGCACCCTGCATTCAGATAGTGGAATGTGGTGCAAAGTCAGAGAGCAGGAGAAAATAAGGGGAGGGAGAGAGAGATGAATGCCTGGAAGAAGCTACGTACATTTCCTTTGGCATATTAAGGAGCTTAAGCAACAATATTTTTGAGCGACTGATGTCAACTGGAAGTGGTCTTTTTGCAATCTTGGGGTGTGTATCTTGCCATCCTCAAACTGCAATCAAATAGGTGGCTGGAAAAAAGCAACAAGTAACATTTGATCAGCTGCTCGATTCTCCTTTCAAGTTATCACAGGCATCCCGGACTGACTAAAGCCAATAGGCGAATCCTTGTTTACATTTTTGGCCTCATTAACGTATGCTTATTATTATCTGATGAAGCTAATGACATAAAAATATCTCCAAATACTGATCAGCTGCTAGATTCTCCTTTCATATTACCACAGGCATCCCGAACTAACTATAGCCAATAGGCGAATCCTTGTTTACATTTTTGGCCGTATTAACATATTCTTATTATTATCTGATGAAGCTAATAACATAAAATCTCCAAATATTGAAAGAGCATAACAATTTCTGTTATCTCTGAAAATTTGCACTCAGCTAGAGATGTAAATGTGGTGGTGAATTTTTAGCCTGGACAGTCTTGTTCATTCACATTCTTCTTATACTTACAGGTGGTGGTTCCAAACAAGAATCTCCTGATACAGATCCCTCAAAAACATCAGGTGGCAGTTCCAAAGAAGAATCTTCTGATACAGATCCCTCACAAACATCAGGTAAAAATCAGGTCAAAAATAGATTAGGCCATATTCTGTTGATTGTTTTTATAGACTCTCAGACTAATTACTTTTTCTATTATTTACTTTTTTCCATTAATACATCTTTAAAGGAAAAAAAAATTTTCAGTTCAAGAATAAAATGAAATAATTTGTCTAACAAAAAGTAAGTGATCAAAAAAACACTCCATACTATCAGTTATCTTAACTCGAAGAAAACATGTCGAAATAATTGCCCTGAACTGGTTCAAACCGTGGCTCTGAACGTGGTTTACTCTGGCTAAATAGAAGTAAGATGTATACTGTGAAAGGTTTGAACCCAGGAGTCATTTCATGATTAGGTGGAATATGATCGTTTGGGTGAGTTTTGCCCTGAATAGGACTGTTGTTGATAACTGGCAACAGGACAATTTGACTAACAATCAATGACCGTTCAGCTGTGACAAAAGATGGATCAAAAAGCACCAATCACATTTAGAGCCTTCATAGCCAATAACATCACAGCTTAAGTGACAAATGACCAATAACATTAAGTCTTAATTGACCAATCTGGCCAATAACCAGAGTTTCAACTGATGTGATACAACTCACTTTGACTCCAAAGAAAAGATGACTACCACGCAGGTTGTCAAAACATCATTCACTGTCAACATTCAGGAGTACACTCGCCCAGATGATCGTGCTTTACCTACTTATAGTTAAATGTATATATGCCTTCGATCAGAGTGACCATAAGCCACTTGGGAAGTTAGGTAGCAATAAATTACTCTATCAGACCTGCAAAGTCCGGTGATCTTGCCTGGGTACTACCAGTTTTGACAAAGGTTATTGCAGGCCCTCCATTGATCCAGTTGCAAAGTTCTTATCACGTCGAACAACCATAATCAATTTTGGAAAAACTAATGAAATTTACAAACTTCCAAAAAAATTCTTTGCATTTCTTGACACTTCTCATTCCACCCTATAGTCAATAGGCGAATCCTTGTTTACATTTTTGGCCTCATTAACATATGCTTATTATTATCTGATAAAGCTAATAAAATAAAATCCGCGAATATTGAAAGGGCATAATAATTTCAGTTATCTCTGAAAATTTGAGCCCGATGTACCGAACAGTTTCAGAGAAATTCTTTTGAAAAAATTACGAACTTTACAAAGAATGTGTGAACTCATTAACGTTTTTGCCACCCAGTAATTTCGTAGTATTTGATTGCTACTATTTCCTTTGTTATTGATTGCAAAGAGCCGAAACTTGGACAAACTGCTCAATTAACCAACTCTTTCAATTTTTGAACCAAATTTGTGTATACGGCCACGTCTTCTATAGGTTACCTCGTATGCTAATGAGAAAAAAGGAAAACAGTGACGTCAGCAAGGATTTGCCTATATGTGAGCGCTAACATATGACAGAAATGATATAACTGAACGCTAAAATTTGATGAAAAAAAATTGAAAAAACTGTTTTGGAGCTACCCTAAAGAGTATCAAATTACACACACTTGCGGTAGCAATTTGCAAATTCTGATCTCATCTTTCGAATCTACAGGAAAATTTACTTCCCAACCTCTTACATAGTTTTTTTCAGCAAAATAGGGGAAAGTTATCAAAAATGCTCGTTTTTCTAAGCATTTAGCCTTTTGCAACATCTTAAAAATGAACACAACTGATAATCTTGCGTAGTAATTTAATGATTATAATTATAACAAATATCGCGTGACAATGTCGTGTGACCCAATTCACGAAATACGACAATGGGCCCTTAAGGGCTTTCGGGTCGGCCTTGGGTTAATTTTTCATTCTTTTAAATTGCCAAGCAGTTTATATGAGTGACATTTATAGCATAGCTTGTAAAGCTTGGCTCGACCCCCACCCCTCGCTGCATATCTCGCGTGATTTGTTGGCTTGAAACATTCGGGAGCTGACCGTAATCAACAAACAGTTAAGAAAACCTTCTGGGCTTAAAGAGGGCTTGCAATTCCATAATTATTATCTCAAATCAAATTCAATTGCTTCTCCAGCAGAAGTGCAACATCAAGAGTTTAGCACCATGAAGAAACATGTCCGAGAAGTCACCGAACGACCTTACAGAGATCTTAAATCACCTTTTCATAATCCAGGCGAAGGACCTGAACGAGATCTGAAGCTTGACGAAATCTTCACCAATTTAATTGTCTATGAGGGGAGAGCTGAGTGTGACTTTTCTGGAGACAGATTGGAACAACTAAAAGAGTACCACAAAGCCAATGAAAATTTGCGACCAACACGGCCAGGAGATATTTTCGATGCTGAAAAACAGAAGATTCTTGTTGTCGGTCGTCCTGGAATTGGAAAAACCATGTTTAGCACAAAGATTCTTCGCGACTGGGCGTCCGATAATTTAATCAACGAAACACAAAAATCACAAATAGATATTAATGTCGCTTTCCTCATTAAGTTGAGGATGTTTAACTCTATAAACAAAGACCTAAATCTTCGCGAGCTTCTAGATCACTCAGAGTATTCAACAGCTCTCTCCGAAGATATCTGGAACTACATCCTTGAGAACCCAGAAAGAGTACTGGTGATTTTTGATGGATTTGACGAATATCTTGGTAGGACTGAGATCAATAAAGATGACATTCCGCACAGAAACAGTGGAGAAGAGAGGATGCCTGTCCATTTGCTCTTGAAGAAAATAGTATCGGGAAAAATTCTTACCGGTGCGACAGTCTTAACGACTACAAGACCCAATGCCGTGTCATGTATCGGAAGTCTTCACTTTGACAAAACAGTTGAAATTCTGGGATTTACAACTGAGCAAGTGGAAGATTATGTGCAAAAGTTCACAGAAGGCGATGGCCAAAAGGCAAACACTATAAAGCAGCACATCCGCAATAACTTAAACCTTCTTGCCTTTTGCTACGTTCCCGTGAATTGTTTCATCATTTGTTCCTGCTTGTTTCAACTTCTTTGTAAGTCCGTTAGCCCTGGCCTACTTCCCACAACGCTAACTGAAATATACTCCATCGCTGTCAAGTACTTTTACTTTCGTCACGGCCACTCTAAAGAAGTGAACAACGCTGAAAACAATTTTTTTGCCCCATTTAAGAAACTGTCTTCCTCTGTGCAAGACGAGTTCACTCGCCTTGGAAAAATTGCTTTTGATGGAATTAACGAAGGAAAACTGATTTTTGAATCAGCTGAAGTCAACAACCTAGCGAGTAATGGCCTGTTTCACCGTTTACCTGACACTAGGGACAATCCTTTAGCAGAGAGAAGAGAACAATACTGTTTTATGCACCTGACGTTACAGGAGTTCTTAGCGGCGAAGCATTTGGTGGACACGTACAGTTCCGAAGACCTGCAGAAGTTTGTTTCCGATCACATCCAAGATGGCGCGTGGAAGGTTGTGATGCAGTTTGTGGCTGGACTGCTGGCTGAAAAAGAAGGACAGTCAACAGATATTTTCAGCGACCTTCTTCCCTCAAAAACTGAAGAAGTTGAAATCAAGATGAATGAAGATTCAGAGGAACGAACTGAAACACGGACCAGTTGGCCAGCTGACAAGAAAGACAGGTTATTAGTGGTGACGCTATTCAATTGCATGTATGAGAACAAAGCCTCTGATCGAGAAGTTCAAAAGAAACTGGAGAAAATTGGTTGTAATGCGCTTGATTTTAGTGACTGTAACCTGTCACCTCTCGACTGTTTAGCATTAGTGCATGCACTTAAATCTGTTGAAGGAATTTTGGATTTTGATTTAAGCTTAAACAACCTTCAGTCGCTAGGATGTATTGAGATTGCGAAGTTGTTACCTGGCAACCAACACAATCAGGGTTTTTGCGAACTAAAAAGATTAAACCTCGGGGATAACAACATAACTGATGAAGGAGTAAAACATTTAGCTACAGCACTCACACACACTAACTGCACACTAAACAGCTTATACCTCGATTATAACAACATAACTGATGAAGCAGTAAAACATTTATCCACAGCACTCACACACACTAACTGCACACTAAACAGCTTAAACCTCGATTATAACAACATAACTGATGAAGGAGTAAAACATTTATCCACAGCACTCACAAACACTAACTGCACACTAAACAGCTTAGACCTCGATTATAACAACATAACTGATGAAGGAGTAAAACATTTAGCTACAGCACTCACACACACTAACTGCACACTAAACAGCTTATACCTCGACAGTAACAACATAACTGATAAAGGTAAAAATCTCGTAAAGTCAATGAACTTAAACTGTAAAGTATCTTTCTAACTTTTCTAAAAGGTAAATGTTTCCCTGTTGAAGGAATTTTGGATTTTGATTTAAGCTTCAACAACCTTCAGTCGCTCGGATGTATTGAGATTGCGAAGTTGTTACCTGGCAACCAACACAATCAGGGTTTTTGCGAACTAAAAAGATTAAACCTCGCTTTTAATCAGATAACTGATTAACACCACACTAACTTCAAACTAAACAACTTGAAGCTTAATTAATATTGCTTTTTCTAAACTTAAAGCTCAATAAGATAACTGATGGATGTATAAAACGCTTCACTGGCAGCACTGCACTCACACATACTAACTGCAAAAGAAACAAAGCTTAGACCTTAGAGCTAACAAAATAACCCATCGAAGGAAAAATCTCCCAAAGCAAGGAAATTAAACTATAAAGTATTTATCTAAGCATGTGTAATAAATATTTTTCTGAACAGCAATCATTTGAGCTAAATTCTTTGACATTATATTTTCGATTTTTTAAAAAGAAGTTTTAAAGTTTTTTATTAGTTCGGCAATCAGGTAGCTTCTAAGCAATCTCGAAGCTCTTAGGGTTCCGTAATATATATTGTTTTGTTTTTGTTTCCCTTTTTTTTTTATAATAATAGTTTGGGTTTTGTGTGAAGAGAAAATTTGTTTGGTCATTACTATAGCTTCACATAGCAACAGGGTGTGATTTGAACAAACCAAAAGAATTAAAAGCTAAAAAGGTTTAGAATAGATTACAGTTTACTAACTCCTAAAAAATCTCCACTTATCGTGAAGCCTAGCGTTAATAACAATGTGTCTTAATGACCCATAATGCCGGAAGACTGAAACAAATTGATGGACATTTAACCTAGATAACTAAGCATACAGCTACATATGAAGACATTTTCCCATAGGAAGGTAATAAGTATAATGTGATAATGCTCCACTGATTCACAGTAAGCGTCACCTTAGAATTATATTTTGCAGTTATATCTAAAAGTGACTGATACATCATGTTTAGCTTTCCTGTAAGTATTCATCCTTGTATATAAGTTTGGTTTTTGATATAATTAAAGTTCTGTTAGACAAATATTATAGATGTCGGCCTGGCCTCCCTCCTTAGTAAATCAATCCGTGCATCCAGCAAAATGCAGGGCAAACTGCTTTTCGGACAAAAACGCAGAGAAATGTCTAACAAGGGGATTGTGCGGGGAGGGGGGGAGGGGGGTATGCGTTCCCTTTTACCGCACGGATACTTTATCTTCGGCTCAGATGTAAAGCTTTGTATATAAACCGTAACGGATCCAGACCTACTTGAGGTAGTTTCAAGGTGGAGCGGTTGTTTCATGCCCAAAATAAAGTACAGAGCTTCGATTTTGGCCAATAACTGAATAAAGGAAGGGCCTCCCCATTAGTTGAGTTTAAAAACCTTTTTTGCTGATCAAGTAACAAGATTTCCTGCCCTGAATAGTTTGAAATCAGCGTCCTTACCGGAGTCAGAAGGCAACATTTCACCAACTCACCTTCAGAAACTGTAAACTGCAGCCACTGCTTTTGTTATTGACTTAATGGGGGCCAGCTAACACACCTGCTAACATAAGAAATAACAATTAAGCGGAAATCCAAGATTCCCGGTGAAGCGAAACTAGCACCAGGGTACTGTTAAAAGAAACTCATGTTTTTGTCCTGGGGCGGGGGGAGGGGCGCACTTGAGGGAAGTTTGGGTATTAATGTGCAGCGGAGTCCTTCAAACCCTGAACATGTTAAAGACAAAAAAATCCGTTCCTTCCGCGGTTTCGTGACCCAGTCTCAGTATTCATCAGTCCTCTTAGTCGTCACGCAACGGTCCTCCAGTTTTAAGGGAAGACATAAACACAACAGAAGCTCTTTAACCCATTAAGCCCTGAGAGTGATCAGTGTCAAATTTCTCCTTGTAATATCAATCCATTATAAAACAAAGTGGTCATGAGAATTAAGGACGTGATCACACAAGATGAATCCATTTGATACTTCAACAAATTCTCCCCACTACTTCTAAGGAAAATGTATAGAGATAACAAATGAGAATTTCAATTTTGATATTAAGGTTTAAAGGGTTAGGAAGTAGTCTCCCTAATCCGCTCTGGGATAACAAGGGAAGAGAGTGTAGGCGGAAGCTATTCCGCCCTCTCTGGATATTTGTATAAGTGTTTATGGACCCATGCGATCGTAGGTTCACCAACCTAACCAGTCATTTATGATACACATTTTAATATTCTTTGACTCTTTGCATTAACACGATACACTTACTACATTTACTACAACATGTATGACTCTTTCCTTTGCGTGAGTCAAAACGTTATATCCTAGAAGTGGAAAATTTGACGTGCATTTATTTTTTATTGTAACAGCGTCGTCTGTAGCAGTATCTCTATCATTTTCAAAACCTTTTTGTTTTTGTGTTAACTATCATTTGGAAGTAATATTTCTTTTTCTGTTCCTTGTCGTTTATCTATGTCATCATTTTGTTTATCCTGCTCGTTACTATCATCACTGTCTCGATTCTGCTCCTGTTCCTTGTCATCGTCCATCTTATTATACGCCTCGGTAAATTTCTCATCAATGAAGCTCTCCACCAAAGCTTGGATCTCCTCTTTTTCTGGGCATTCAAGTTCGTCAAGAATCCGCCGGATATCTTGTACAGCTGCAGATGTGGATCCACGATGCAGCTCCAAAGAGGATTTGACGAGTAACGTGATATCCAGCGGCAACAGAGCGGCGCTGATTACAGAACCAGCAACGTGTGCCGCGCGCGTCCCCGCAATAGCCGCACTTCTGGCTACAGCGCCTGCAGTAGCGGCCGCTGATGCAGATATTGTGGCTGCGGAAGTGGCTGCTCTGAAGAACCTGGCACCGAATTCTACTCTCTCTTCGGTGGACGCGCCGATCTCTTCATAGGATATCCGCTGACTAAGAAACTCAAATCCACTTCCTTCTAATTCTCTGAGCAAAACCGCGTCATCATGCAGCGGTTTAAGGAACTCTGCTGAGCAAGAGATGAAGTTCTCCAAGGAGTCTGTTTCTGGAGCTCACTACAAGCTTCACGATCGTCCTCAATTACCGCTTACACTTCTTTGAGTCCTAACTTTTCCAAGATAATCTCAACGACTTTGGAACCAGACATGACCATTCCCCCCGCGCCACCAATTCCTGCCCCTACAATGGACACTACGATTCCGGCCCCAAATGTGAATGGTGCAGCAATGACGCCCGCAACTCTCAAGATTCCTATTATTAATTTTCCTATGATGCTCATGTAGCTTTGTTGCTAGTTCTTATATTTGTTTTTAGTGCGCGATCTTGTTGGAATCCAGCTTAGAAAAGCTTCGTGTCAAAAAAAGCATCACCATCGGCACCTTACCGACTGCCTACCCGTAAGGAAATAGTACGGGAAAATATTTTAAAGAAAAATACAGAGGTAGAGTCTAGGGAAGAGCTTGATAGCCTGTTGGCCTGTTAACTCTTTTATGATTCTTTTATGTCTTTTCACTGGGCTGATCGCAATGGTAGAT